ACTTTACAATAAAATACAATCTGTCTCGTAAAAATGACCAAAGTTTAAAACATTGTCTCTCACCTGGGATTAATGTGATGTAGATCATCTCCAGCAGTATGAGAGTTGATGTGCTGCCAGTTTTCATTGTTAACAACTACAGGTGGTGGACACAATAACAGAAACACCTTCATACAGCTGTTTGTCCAAACACATGAATTAACGCAGTTCAGTGGGTTTCTATGGTAAATAACTGTTTGATAGTGAGTTAAAATGGTGAATGGCATCAAGTTCAGCTGCAGAAAAACATTTTCAGCTCATGTCAACATTCAGACCAACAGAGTTAAAAGTGTCTCACCTCATAAACGCAGAGAAAACCTGCAGCGTAGCAACAGGAGGAAGGTTTCCAACATTAGAGGAGGTTGTGCAGTAAAAAAGAAAAAAGGAACAACAGTCTTCTGCAAATATCACTCAGCTTTATTTCTGATGTTTATCATGCTGCCTGCACACACACCAGTAAAACACTGTCCCCATGTGGTGACATGGTGCTACTGTCTTCCACACAAACAGAGACGATAGAAAATGTGAGACATTGCTGATTCTGATCGTTCACATTCTCAGATGATTTCAACAAAGATACAGTGATGGGAGGTTGTGCATGATAATGCTAAAGTGATGCGTCCAAAATTGTAAGTAACAGTAATGACCCATAGAAACTGAAGAGAAGTTTAAAAAGGTTTTTCCACCGTGAGCCATCAACCAAGACACAACAATCCCATTTTGTGTTATTTCAGCAACATACTTTTGTGTGATTGCAAATTAACATGAACTAACAGGACTTACTCTATTGTTATTATTGTATTGTAAAAGTTTTCTACAGATGAAATTAGAAATGCTGCAAATCAGTCCAAACTAGCCTGACAAAGTTAAATAATGTTTGCACATGTAAAACTTGTGACTTTCAGAGTGATGTTTTGCATGACACTTCAGCACAGTTTTGAGGTATGCTTCCTCCCTCACTTACTTCAATATGTATTTTCAATTCATACAACTTTTCATAAATATCAGTGTGTAAGATTTAGGTGAAAAGGATCTACTGGCAGAAATTGAATATAAAATAATACTTTTGATGTTTTCACTAGTGTGTGATCACCTAAATTGTACAAATTGTTGTTTTCTAGTTTACACTTAAATTAGCCCTTTGTTTTTAAATGATTTATATTCACATCAGGATAGGGTCCTTCCTACGGAGGCTGTCGTGTTTTTACAGAAGCCCAACCTGGACAAACTAAACACCTTTTGAGTTTTTATGACAACTGAAGCTTAACACAGGTTCACTCTCATGTTTGGAAGGAGAGGGTGAGGCGAAGGGTATTCAGCTGCAGCATACAGCTTTACCACTAGATGTCACTAAATTCTACACACTGAACCTTTAAATGAAAACATTGAAGATATCTGCACATTTAATTAGACCTTTGGCAGAACTTAGACATAATTCAGGTTTTTGTCATGACTGATGATGTGTGTTGTTAAAACGGTGATTTAAATGAGCCTGTGGTGTTTCACATCTACAGTGAACTTTTCTCTTTCTATAAATCACCACAACCTTTGGTTCGTAGCAGCTCTCTTCATTATCGCGCCTGTATTAGCTAATATGGAAAAAGCATTGATGGTTGTGTGTTAACCACGCAGACTTTTATTTGTACTATTACATCGACATATAATAAAACACACAAGGAATGTCAGACATAATAAATCCATCTGGTGCTGATATCTACAATAAAGCAATAAACATGCTTACCAAAGGGACAGTGGCAGTAAACGTTTTATTTTTCATGTATTTTTCAATTACTGTATTTAAATATCTTGATAAGTCGTTATTTTTTCAATGCAAGACGTTCTGCTTTGGTTCAGGAACGATGAGCTGCATTATTGACTTCTCTTGGTTCACAATAATATTCCATGTAGTAGATTCTGATTGATTTTTTATCAGGGTCCTTGATTATAAGCAAAATATACATAAGGAAGAATCTGTGGGAAAAAAAGACAAAAATCTATGTAAATAAGAAGAAAGTAGATAGAATGAAGATTAATGCAGATATATAATTTTAAAAATAACATATCCCACCTTCCACTGCTCTTATGTCAACGCTCTCAGAGTCAGTCCACTGATCGCCAATGCTGAAAATGACCAGCAGGGAGCAGCACAGGATGCTCCACAGAGTAAAGAAGGCAACAGTTAACCATCACCTGAATTTAAATGTACAGTACATATCACTGATAAAATGATAACCATGCATGATTCTCCAGTGTCTTACCTCTCAGATTCAGCACAGTGGAGTTTTCCTGCATGGTCACCATATTTCGGGCACTGCAGGTGTAATTCCCTGTGTTTTCTGCCTCCAGCCTTTCTATAATAAACACGGAGTTGTCAACATGAGTCTCGTTGCCATTGAACATCCAGCTGAAGTTTGCCGGTGGGACAGAATCGGCCGTGCACTGCAGTGTCACCCGCTGGCCGGGCGGAGCTGCCGATGGTCCAGTGATGGAAATGTTATGTGGCCCAACTAGACAGAGAAAATGAACATTCAGTGTTTGGACTCAAGAGTTCAGACCTGCACCTAAAGGCCTTTAAACAAGTGCAAAAACTCAAGAGCCAATACCAAGACATTTCAACAAATTCTGCACATTCAATTTCCCTTTTAAAACAAAAGCTCTCAAATATCATTGCTAGAAATATTCCTTCACAGGAGGCCTGCAGCGAACAGTACTCACAGTTGACAGTTAGGTTATGAGCCACAGTCATGCTGCTGACTGGGTTGCTGACTCGACACTGGTACGTGCCATGGCTGGAGAAGTCCACAGGTTGAATGAACACTGTCCGGTTGTCTGCGGAGAAGCTAAGTCTGCTGCTGGGACGGAGAGGCCGCTCGTCCTTCATCCAGACTCTGCTGCTGATGGAGCCAGAGGCCTCACAGGTGAGATTGGTGGAGCTTGCATCTTCTATCAGGATGGCTGTGGGGCTGCGGATGGTGGCTGCTGTTATTGTTGCTGGATATAACATGGAGAAGGTCAACCCAACAGAAATGGACAGAAGATTTGATTGTTTAGAAATATAAAGAATTATTATCCTTCTTGGATTTTAAATATGCCACATATAACGAATATTTCCATTAGTCTTTAAATAGATTTAGATGTGACAGTAACTTGACAACGTGATAATCAACTGGACAAATAGCACCATCTTTTATTCATCATTTTATTATAATTACAGATGTGATCGTTAAGATTATTATTATGTTGACATCTACAATGCCAGATATATTTCAACTTTCTGGATCGAATTTTTCTGCAATTTTAACTGATAAAAAAAGAAAGAGAAATCTGGTTGATTTTTGACCAATCCAATGCAATCAGATGATATCACAAACCATCGCCTCAAAAATACAATTAAAAGTTGAACTAAATATTGAAAAATTAGAAATTCATAATAGATTCAGAAGGTTTGGGTGAATGGTATTATATTATAACAATTTATTATCAGGAGATGAGGAGTTGTTTTCTTTTCTTATTAAAATATTGAAGTTTAATTTTCAGATATTTTCAAGAGATTATTTAAATTCAACATAACTTTATCTGCCACGACTTTTCTATTTATTACCTACACTGTGCTTTGGAGAAAGACCCTCCACTCATTTTATAGAGGATCTTTTTTTATTTTTCTAATGACAAACAATCTATTTAACAAGAGAGGACTCACTATACACATTCAGGGTGGTCTCCCCCTGCTTCTGTGGCCCTTCCAGTGGTACGATGGTGACGGTGTACTCCCCACCGTCCTCCAGCACCAGGTTTCTGAGCTCCAGGCCTCCCGTGGCTCGGTCCAGTGAGATTCTGTTGGTGTACTCGGGCCTCGTGGTGTTTGAGGCACTCGTGGAGGTGATGATGTTGACCCCTTTGAAACTCCAGCTGACGGAGATGAATGGATTCTCCGGAGGCTGGACGTTTGTGGTGAATTTCACAGAGTCAGCCACAGCTCCACTCAGGGGTCCCAGGGGTAAAATACTTTCACCCAAACCCATTCCAAAGTAACCTGAAGAGGAGATCGAGAGCAGAAAAACGAAAAACAAACCTCAGAATGTGATGTATGATGTTATGTGGCTCATTCAATCAGCGTAAAACTGAGAAACAAACATTTCTCTTTATAAAATCGTTTTAATTTAACTATACCTGTCAAAACAAGCTTCACGGCCGCCCAGAGCATCTTCTTGTCCATTGTGTACAATGACTTTTGCTGTTGCCTCAGAAGAGTCACAGGTTCTCCTGCTCTTTTTATTGTCCCACACCCACAGAGCAGGATCGACTCCAGCCCCCCACTCGGAAATGAAAGGCACAAACAGTGTTTACGACGCCACTGTGTACATACACCAAAATGCCTGCAGGTAATATGTTGGGCCAGGAGTTACTTTGACTTGTGTGTGTTCGTAGACATGAGCCGTGATAAGACAGATGGTAAACAGTGAATGAAACAGGCCACGATGCTGCTTTACATCTCAGCGATCAGCTTGTGTAGAAAGCTCATAAAAGAAACATTTATATGATGTGTTCTGTTTGGTTGTTGGAGATGCTGAACACTGGTCTGAGAAGCTTTTGTCAAGTACAGTCCAGTCGTGATGACGTTATTTCTTAATATTGCCTTACAAGATTTATTAAGCGCTCCCTTTTTTTTTGTGTTATAACTGAGAAAGTCAATTTTTTTTGTTTATTGTGGATTATACAAAAATTGAACGGCAGATGTTCAGCCTCAGATGTGAGAGGATGTTCAATCTCAGGCCTAAAATAAGAATTAAATGAGATGAAGAAGCTTCAGTAGATCATCAACTTCATGATCAACTGAGGCTAATTATTAAAAGACTCGCAAATACATGTCTCAGTGCAGCTGAGGTCTGAGTCATGGTGCTGGTGGCGTTCTCGGTGGTGGAGAGTTGTACGTGGGTTTTATGAGCTCTTCAGTGAGTGGTTTTGGTTTTAACAGGCTTGTATTTGAGAAGCAGCAGCGAGCCGTAGCATTCCGTGAGGAGGAGGATCAAAGTGCTCCTGGAGACAATTAGTCTCCTTCACAAACAGGTAGCGGCCTTCATCGTCTGAATTTTAAATTGGAAAAAATATATTGAAGTGTCTACATTAGTATTTGTTATTAGTCCAATTTTTTAATAAATCTACATCCACATGGAGACCTGCCCGTCCGAATACTGCGGCTCAACAACCAAATAATCAGCAGAAACGATGAGGCATAGACAGTGTCACATGTGCCTATGATTCCTGACATGTGAACATACAATATGGGGGATGAAACGTCGCTGGGGGATGTGTCACCGATTTGTACGATGTGTTTCATAACATGTTGACTCAGTGAGAATGTGGTTTTGTAAGTGGCGCTCAGAGTGTAAATATGATGTCAGTCAGTCTCTGTTGTCCCACTGTGCGCTCAGTATTCAGGGAATGATAAGAGACGATGTGGTTCTGATGGGGTCCTCAACGTTTCTGGATTCTGATTCCGTAAAATGAAGCAATGTTCGGGACCCCAACTTCCACTCAGTTATGATCTTTGCCATTTGGACAGTTTTTAAACGTGAATGTGATAGATTACAAAGTATTTTATTAGAATGAATATAAAACACCGTCCTGCATGCCTCCACCAACTCTTGCAGTTTCAGTCTACAGACTCCTGAAGCCACCGTGACCTTTGACCTCTAACCTTTGACCAGCAAAATGTATTCAGTTCATCTTTGAGTCAAACTGAACTGTTGAGTTAAAACTCAAAGCAGGAGACGGAAATAAGAATCAAACATCATCTTTAAACCAGATTAACACAAACACAGTCTATGAGCGCAAAGGAGCCGCCTGGAACTTAAGTTTCACTTTTGGTCGCGGTTCCTGGCGGAGCTATTTGATCGGCGCACCGCTGAGGAGAAGGAAATAAACAACAACAAATCACCGGATCATTAAGAAAAGTGAAAAGACATGTGGGGACATTTGGCGTCTCAGCAGGAAGACAAAGCAGAAGACAGCCTTCACCTGGCTGCTCAACCAAAGACACTACTGGTATGGAAAAAGAAAAGACACTGATTTAATTTGTAAATGTGTTGGTGAAGTAATTTAAGTTACTGAGTTGACTCACATTGATTACGAGTATTAATCAGGTTTGTTTTCTATTTTTGATTGTGCACAGTTACATGGATTTTCTGTTTTATTCAAGAGAAGAAGTAAATATACTGAAACTGAAGTTTGATTGTGAAACCAAATACATTCTCCACATGTGGAGTCATGCTCCATCTCTGTAAGTTTTTATGAGCTCTGAATGGATTCTCGGGCTATTTTCCAAGTCTATAAATCACTGTAACCCATTGTAAAGCCACTGTAACGTAAATGAAGGAGACAGACACAGTTTACATTCAAAACCAAACCCCCTCTTTCAATATAGTGACGAAGCCATCGTGTGTGCGTCACCAGTGTTCGGGTTTGTTATTTGCAAATCATTAACTCACAAGAGTTTTAAATTGATCTAAAGAAAAATGTGTATTTTATGTTTGTTGTCTAATGTTATGTAATACAATTTATTTTCTAATATTTAATCTGGAGATGTCTTGTTTTTTTCTGACCAGAAGAACCTCAATGAAATGTACTAGCTCAACTTTGAAAGAAGAAGAAGTCTTCATTTTTGTTGAAATAATTTTCATTTAGAACGTCTCGTACCTGTTAAAAGGGTTAATATTTTACAGCTGAGAAAGGCACAGATTTATATCTCAGAGAGACGTCAGCGTTGACGTAGTAGAATCACCTGCAGGCTGACATGAACCAAACCAAAGTATTTAAGTCACACACAGATTTCATACCAATACTCTAAATAGAAGTTTCATTTTGCTTTGTACTGGTACTTACACTAAATATACGCGACTATAAATTGTCAGACCTTCTCCAGTAAAACCTTCTGAAACTTGACGTACAGACAGTGGGGGTCACCATGAACAAGAGTTAGGTGAAATATCTGTGTCACCTGTGATGCCCACAAAAGTGTGATCACATTTATGTCATATTTTATTGAAATCTACTGTGAGTAGTTATTTTAAAAACTTTCACATTTTAGAATCATTGTCTTTTGTATTATTTTTTTGGAAAGTAAAGTCATTTCAAACCAAGATGATTGAGTTATTGCGGCAACTCTCGGTTGGTAGGGGGCAGTGTGAGAGCATGGCTGGTCCAAGGGACTGCTAGTCTGCTAGAACTCAACGTGTCCGTGTCTCATTATTCTCTCTTGTATTTCAGGTTGGTAATAAGTAAAAAAAACAAAAAACAAGTGAGCATGTTTGTGTGTCAGGTGATGCTAGAGACAACTGCAGTCGGTGTTTGAGAGTGAGATGAGCAGTGGAGGAGTTTGTTTTGTGCTGACAGGAGCGAGTGCTCACTGAGAGGAGCGGGAATGGCGGTGTCGTGCACGCTGTGAGCAAACATGCTAGCGCTAGAATGTGACCTTTATTTTGAATATTTGTATGAGAAGGCTGACTCTGTGTGTTATTGTTCATGTTGAATATGTTCTATACAATACAGTGTCTATGAGTGTGCGTTTGTGATGCAAATATGACCACAAGGTAACTGGAAAAGTGAATGAGACAAGATGGACGTTGTTAAGTGTTTGAATCGTATTATTTTTCTTTGTTCAGTGAACATGGAAATGTGTCTGAAGAGATAAAAGGTGTGCAGTAGTTTAACTGCTGGTAAAATAACCAAGATGCATAAAGTTAAGAGTGAACAAAATGTTAATACATTTAGCCGTGAGGAACCAGCTGAGCATGTCAACAAAATAGTATTTACAACATCTTCTTCTTTGTGCTTCACATTTTAATTCTGCTGCAGGAAGAAAAGTTTGAAAATAAAAACTCTTACATTCACCATTGGTGGAGGATTTTGTGCTTTCATTAATTGTACCTGTGATTGTGTTAATTGTTCATTAACCATTTTTTAAATTCACCAAGAGAAGATGACCTGAATTGATCCTTGTCCTTGTCCTGCTCTGACAGACCTTGTGTATGAGTCGTTTAACTGTGTATGAGTAATGGCCAAATGATAATAATGCAGATGATAACATCTCACATCGCTGCAGGTCAGAGTAACTACTACACGTCTAACTGTCGGGTTCTGCCAAAACTGCACCATACACATCTGTTTGAAGGTCAAATTCATAACTTGATACTGTCCGCAATAAATACCTGACAACGTTCATTTATCTTTATGCAGGTGGCATAAAATATTTATCACAGACATAAAATATGAACTCTGAGACAATGTTCTGTGAAGTCCATTACAAATTATTAATTAACGGGGCTGATGGTGCAGTGACTTCTCCACCTGACTCGACAGATGTGCTTGAGATGACTTGTGTTGTGCTGAAGGGAAACAGTGGTTTGTCTCACCTGAAAAGGTAATGACCCTAACCCTGTGTATTTAATGGAGTTGTGATGTTTTTAGGGGGGCATTAACACTGTTGCCTCACAGTGGATGGCTCATTTTCATGGTTATAAGTTGCTCATCTTAGTGATACAGAAGATACTGAGTATCCATGGTCTATTTTTAAAATGTTTATTGAATATATACTTATATACATATCATATAAAAGAAATGTCCTTTTTATTTTGAAATCCCTTGAAACAATTATTATTGAAATTATTTACAGCTTTGACTTTGATTACATTCATTCAAACCATCATTAATCATCAAGTCACATGGAAGTTATCCCAATTATAATTCAACTAAGTAAAGTGAAGGAGGCGGAAAATGGTTGGGTTCAATAAATAAATAATTTTTAAAAAGGAATTAAATAACACTGAGTTTTTCTTTAACATTGTTGATAAAGAAACTTGTAGAAATCATCAGCTGTTTTCAGATTTAAATTCTGCGGAAGGAGAGAAAGTTTGCAGATGATTAGAACGAGGAGTGTTTCAATCAACAGTATGTCGACAATAAAAGATCTTAAACTCACCGTTGAAGGACTATGAATTGCTTTCTTTCATTGTTCCTGTGATCTTGTACACGTCTGAATGCTTCACCTTCATACTTAATTTATCTAAAGGGTTAAAACAGAGGTTTATCGTACGCTTCATTAGATCAATTTTCTGGATTCAGATATAAATCTTTATGTTGTCACTGTTTAGATAAGACAAGAACTTACGTTTTTGGTGTGCTGGATAATTGCTGTTGACTCACAAAAATAAAGACAGTTATTATTTAATATTAGCAGTAAAGGCAATAGGAACATTCAATGCTCAGTAATTAATGTTTAGAGTTATTTAGAAAATTATATATAAACTAGATATTTAAGAACATTCATGTCACCTTGTGTATTTCTTATGGGATTGATATTTGGGACTGAACCTGTCTTGTGCTTACCTTCTCCTCTTCACCAGACAGAACACGATTATTCCGCTCATAACCATAATTATGAGAGAACACCCAGCTGTTAAGATGGCAACTTTAGCAGCAGCAGCTGAGCAGTCACAGTCTGTGACATCTGAAAAACAACAAAACTCACTCAGAAAATATTCAAAAGCTTGAAAATGTCTCGTTGTCCTTCATTTTTCTTTTCACATACCGGTGACAGTTAAATCGTGGTGCACTGTCTGACTCTGCCCTGTCACAGTATTCTCAGCCGTGCAGGTGTACGTCCCACCGTCTGATATTTGGCTTGATTGTATGACGTACACAGCCTCTTGTACAGCTGTTGGTTTTCCGTGAAACAGCCAGGTGAACTTTGCCGGTGGAACAGATACAGTGGAGCAGTAGAGCATCGTAATAACTCCAGCGTGTGTAGATGTGGGTCCAACAATGTTCACGTTGTCAGGTCCATCTGCAACACAAGCAGATCACTCGGATCGCATGGTGTTTTTGTTGAAGCCTTCGGTTCTGTTGATACTTCTATGATTAGTTCTCAATTCTTGTTTTGAAAGATTTAACATAATAGTATGTTTTAAACTCGGTTGTGAGTCATAAGAGTCAGACTTTGTGGACATTACCAAAACAGTTAGTACTGTGTGCATTAGGAAATGTAGATCAAATTTTAACTTAACTCTAATGGTTAAGTTATGAATTAAACCTGGCCCAACATCCAACCTTGCAGACTCATTCAGTTTGTGCATTTAAATCTGTGTGGGCTCAACACTATCCTGCTCTGAAATGGGGAAGGGATCACATGGAAACTCTTCTTTAAGTTAGAGAAAGGCTGCAACCATCTCATTTTTTGGTCTCAGTAGGTAAAATGATGTTGATTTGCTTAAAAACAGCATGACTGTCCCAGAAAAGGTTTCACTAGCATTCAATTTGATTAGATGAATAGGATGTTTTTTTTAAAACATTTTCAGTGATTTCTGAAAATAATGAATGGATCTTAATGAAAATTGGGACAGAAAACACATCCAAACTAAACTTAAAAATCAAAAACTCACATTGGATGATAAGTTTCACTGACTGGCTGATTTCACTAGTGACGCCGTTGGACACGTTGCACCTGAATGGTCCCTGGTCGTAGCGGGTCACATTGAAAATAGTGAGAGTGGAGTTTGCATCAGTGAGCTGAACTCTGTCGCTGGCTGTGACCTCCGAGCTGCCGTTCAGCCAGAGGAAGGAGAGGGAGGTTCCAGAGGAGGAGCAGGACAGACTGGCCGAGCTGTGGAACTCCAACAAATCTGTGCTGCTGCTGCTCTGTGTTACTGTGATGTTGGAGACCGGCACTGTGGGTTAAAGTCACAACAAAAATCATTAACTGAGAAAGTGGCACTGCAGAGGAAAGAAACACTGCAATGTTTATTCAACATGTGGTCGCGGATAGTTGATAGATAAGATGACTAGTTTTGATAACTTTATTAAAAATTAAAAAATCACATTAAAAGAGTAAAAACAGGGTTTGCAGTAAACTAAGAAATGAAATGTTTAATTTTCTACTGTACATACTCTATTAACATGTGTATAAACATCAAATGTGTGTGCGGGCAAGAAACTCTAAACTCACTGTTCTGCCAGAGTTACAGCATAGGGTACAAATGTTCATGGTTATTTACACGCCAACGCTTGAGAGTTAATGCGCATTGTAACGTAGTGACGACAGAATTACAGTGTTGGTGTCTAGACTGCTAAAATAAAGCGTGAAAAGGAGTGAATGTTGACTGTATCTGTTCTTATTTGCAGACGTGAGCAGGTGTTAGTGGGTGACCAGTGGAAAAGATGCTGAAATAACTTGCCCAGTATCGACACAACTGCAGGGTCAGATGATTTATATCTCAGAGTTTTGCTGTTAAAGGCATGACAGCTGTATTTTCCACTGTGACTCTGCTCAATCTTAACCAGTTGGAGCTCTGGTCCAGTGGCTGACAGCCTCTCTCCATTCAGAAACCAGTAATACGTGGCTGCAGGTCTGGACACAGCTGAGCAGAGCAGCTTTAAATCTGATCCTTCTTCATAGTATTGTTGTGATGGAAACAGCTTCAGATTAATATTTTCTGGGCCGACTGTGGAGAGAAAAGACATAAAACGGTTCGATCACCCATAAAATAAATGTAATTTGAGGAAAGATGAAAAAAAAGCATTTAGCCGGGCTCAGTGGGAAGAGGCCATTATGTCGTTCAAACACAGAACTGTATCATTAAGCTTCATTCATACAAGCGTCAGTACGAGCCAAGCACTGCAACAATGAAACAGCAAGAAGGACAATAAAAAGCAATCACGGCAAAACCACCCTTTTCATGATGAATGCAATAATTATGTGACAAGCTGCAAATTTAAAGCTCTAAATGATATTTGAATGCAAATGCTGCAACGTAAGACTGAGCGAGTACTTCAGGGTAGTAACTCACAGCTGATGGAGAGTTTCACCGGATCACTTGTGGAATTACTGAAACTGTTGAACACGTGACACCTGAACGGTCCCTGGTCGTAGCGGGACACGTTTACTATAGTGAGAGCGGCGCCGTCGTCTGTGAGCTGAACTCTGTCGCTGGCCGTGACCTCCGAGCTGCCGTTGAGCCAGAGGAAAGAGAGGGAGGATCCAGAGGAGGAGCAGGACAGACGGATGGAGCTGTTGAACTCAATCAAGTCTGTGGTGTTGGGAGTTATCACCACATCGGAGACGTTAGCTGGGAGAGGAGATAAAAATGTTCGATAAACAGAAAGCACAAATCACTTTTTCGTTTCTGAAGCAGGGACACATTATAAACAATGCTTCAACAATTAATTACCTCTGCCAACAGAGTACAGTATAGTTTCAAGCAAGATTGCACAAGCAACCAACAAAACTTGTTGGAGGAATGGGTAATCAGAGGCCCTTTGGATTTTTTGGTAGGTTGTATGTGAACTTTGGTGTAGGTTGATTGAATTTAAGGGAACTGTTAAACCTGGGCAGTGGAACAGTACGTGCCCTGTTGAGTGCCATTCTACAGTTGTATTTACTACAGCATTTTAAGTTGGGCACCAATTAACTGCCAACACATCTAAACTGTTTCTAAAGACTCATTTCAAAAGTAATTCGGTGCTATATTTTAGGTATTGACTCCCACTTACATGTCAGTACAGTTAAAACAACAGGCTGAGATGTTTGACTTCTCATGGTTTTGTTGTTAAAGGCCTGACAGCTGTAGTTTCCACTCTGACTCAAATGGATGTTGATCAATTTGAGCTCTGGTCCAGTATCAGGCAGTCTGTTTCCATTCAGGAACCAGTGATACAGGGCTGCTGGTCTGGAGACAGCTGAGCACGTCAGGCCGACGTCCGACCCCTCGTCGTGGTATTCTTGTGATGGAGATACTGTCAGATTAATGTTTTCTGGGCCCACTGTGGCGAGAAAACATAAAAAAGATATGGCCACCAGTAAAACAAGGGAAGTAACAACAAAGAGGCTTCCAAATGGCTTGAGGAAAAGGGTTTATGTGATTTGCAACTTGTGCTTTATATCAGTCAAATGCAGAAATAACCAGGACAATAAAAAAAGTTACTCAGACATATTTGAACGAACATCCGGTACATGTCACTTTGTAACTCACAGATGATGAGGAGGTTGACTGGATCAGTGGTGCCATTACTGACAGGATTAAACACGCGACACCTGAAGGGTCCCTGGTCATAACGGGTCACATTATGTATGAGGAGAGAGGAGTTTCCATTTGCGAGCTGAACTCTGTCGCTGGCCGTGACCTCCGAGCTGCCGTTCATCCAGAGGAAGGAGAGGGAGGATCCAGAGGAGGAGCAGGACAGACGGACGGAGCTGTTGAACTCAAACATGATGGTGCCGCTGGCGTTCACCTCTATATTAGACACTGGAACTGTGCGAGAACAGACACATTCTCATTTTATACATTTTAAATAATGACAACAAGGACTATGTGTGTGTATGTGTGTGTGTGTTGGGGGGCTGGTTTGGTTAAACATAGATTCCCTTTCACCTGGCACCCCCAAAGTCCCTTGAAACACTCCTGCCACCAGCTGACACTAAAACACCATCTTGTTTAATGTGTCACATCAGTAAAACAAACCTTAATTCCAACTCACCCAGTACAGTTACAGCTGTCCCGTGAGCTGTTTGAGATCTCTGAGTTTTGTTGTTAAAGGCCTGACAGCTGTAGTTTCCACTCTGACTCTCCTGGACGTTGATCAGTCTGAGCTCCGGGTCAGTGTCAGACAGTTTGTCTCCATTCAGGAACCAGTGATACAGAGCAGCGGGTCTGGAGACAGCTGAGCAGGACAGGCTTATGTTTGACCCTGCCTCGTGGTATTCTTGTGGCGGATTAAGTGTTACATTGAGGTTTTCTGGGCCATCTGCAGAGAAGAAGAATGAATGTGCACCAATCAAAATAGTAGAAAATGATTGAAAAATGTATTAATGATGAAACAATTTTGGACAGAGCTGCTTCCTTTTGAAATATTGCACTAATTTACTTCAGCTCTGGGGTCTTAGCGAACATGCAGCAAGACTCACAGCTGACAGAGAGGTTGACTGGGTCACTGGAGCTGTTACTGACAGAATTGGACACGTGACACCTGAATGGTCCCTGATCATAACGGGTCACATTGACTATAGTGAGAACGGAGCCTCCATCGGTGACATTGACTCTGTCGCCAGCTGTGATTGTAGAGCTGCCGTTCAGCCAGAGGAACGAGAGGGAGGATCCAGAGGCGGAGCAGGACAGACGGATGGAGCTGTTGAACTCCACCAGGTCTGTGCTGCTGCTCGGTGTCACCGTTACACTGGAGACCGGCACTGTGGATTAAAAACACAACAAAAATCATGAATGAGTGAATCATAATTGGGGGAATTTGTAGCAGGACAACCACTGATGGAAATGTATTGTATTCAGTCCAGGGTACAATCACAAAATAAGATTCTATACATTTGCAGGATGGGATAATACCCACAGCCATCATATTTACTCCCTATTCATTTTATTAATCTTTTTGATGCATTTTTATCTGTGCCTGCTGAGGTGCCTATAAATGTATACAAATGTATTATGATTATTATTACCTACTTGTTCCCTGTCATATATGCAATTACAATATTCATGATATAATGTCATGGAAGGACCCATGACATTGCACAATAGGGTTTTGTTTTTATGTTTTCACCATAGGTGGAGAAGAAATCAAACATATTAGTGGAGGTTTGCACTCTTCTGAATGCTATTAGAGTTTATAGTGTTGTCTCTATGTTCTTCATTGTGACAGTGATGCATCAACTTACCATCTAACAGCAGTTGGCAGCTTCCTTTCTTCTGCGCGTCACCATATGGAATAATGGTGAGTTTGTATTCGCCGCTGTCGTTAATAGTCACATTACTAAGCTCCAGAGATCCAGTAGACCTGAGGAGTTTCACCCGGCCTGTATATGCTGGTCCAATTGCATCTGTGTTAGTTGAGGTTATTATATTCACACTAGAACCTTGGCTTTTCTCAAAACTCCAGGTTACAACCACGAATGGTTTCTCAGATGGAGGCACGGTTGTGGTGAACGTCACCGTCTCTCCGACAATAGCAGTCAGACTGTCTGGTAGCACGCCAGCTCCATGGATTACACCTGGAGGAGACAGATACAGGTACGGTGGGTCACTGAAACAATTCTAATAACTTGTAATATGTAAAAGCATGAACTTGTAAACTACTTGAAAAAGTGCAAGAAAATCTAAGTCAGGTGCAATCGCTTCATCTGTAATAAATGTAAACACACACACACAGCGAAGATTATTAAAGCTTATCTCAGATCTCATACTAACAAGATATGATTACATAAACACATGAGAACTCTAACCCTGTTCTCCTGCATGTTTTCATGATCAATATCATGTTATCAAGATACATTTATATACAAAATCAATTTGTTTGAGAACAAACTAAAATTTAAAAGCAGCAGGTCTGAATGCTTATGTTTTTTTTATCTTTAAGATTATAAGAAATAAAATATGTAAGAAGCATTATTATTATGCTCTCTATATGTCTCACAAGCAAAAGATAAAACCTTCTTAAATGCTGAAATGGTAAAAGCTCACCTGAGATGGAGCCCAGGAAGATCAGCAGTATCACAGATGTCTCCATATCTATCACAGCCTCAGGCACATAGACAGTGTTTTCTGAGAGGAGGTGCTGTTAATACATGTTTGTGAGGAGGAGGAACCGTGCACTTCTTTTGTGGTGATTAACCCTGAACTCTGTGATCGAATGACAGCAGTGAAAACCAATAAGCAATACAGCTTTGCCAATAATGTGGGTTGGGTGGGTTTTGAATCAGATCTGTACACAAACCTAACTGGTTTCATCAATCAACAACAAAATCCGACATTGGGAATCGTTGTTGATTGAAGCACAAAATAACAGCAGCTCATTAAATCACTTAAAACAGATGCGAAAAAGTAATAATTCTTGTTTTGTTTTCTCAATATGGATTTTAGAGTAGAAAAAAGCTGTGTCTGCAGCCGGTTGTCTTTGGGCCTCAAAATATTTTATTTATTATAATGTTAGTGTCACCATATTAGTATCAATATGCAGTATCAATAAGTACTCTCAGTATTTTGATTTATAATTTTGGTTGCCTTAAAAACATTGAACTTTTTATTTTATTAATTATAGTTTCACATATCACTAGAAATGCAACAGGTAGTTCCTGTTCTCTGACATTTTCACATGCCACAAAGTGTTTGCTCCGAGTGTTGCAGCCTCCACATTGCTGATTACACTGGTTTGATTAATTTATAATCCTGTGTTCTTGCTGGTAATAAAGTAATGAAAGCACATGCTGTACATCATGTGCTGATCTTGTGGGTTTTCATCAGTGACAAGTATGAACATTTTTATCCAGAAAGACGATTATTCATTTCTCACAGCACAATTTGGGAGATTATGAGAAAATTGTTATGTTCTCTCAATGATCTGCTGGTTTGAGAGCCTCGGGTATCAAGAACAGGCTTTAGGGAAGATTGTTGAACTTTGCCAGAACACCATCGGCACTGACTTGAATACCTTGGCCACGTTGGTGAAGTCAGAGCCACTCAAGGGGCAAAGGCCCTTTTGGCGGAAACTCAACCCCCTCTTCACCCAGAGTTTTGTTTCCTGCCATCAGGGAGGAGGTGAAGAAATCTGACAGAGTTCAGTTCATTCATCCCATGAGCTGTTGGCTGTAACTAACTATAACTGAGCAGGGTATTCAAATTTAACTGAAAAACTGTCTCTTAATGTTTTCATATTTCATTGTCATTTAAAATAAATGGCTCTTAATGCATGTCTATGTATTTGTATAATTGTATCTTGTTTATTTTCTGAAATGTGCATTGGCTTTAAACCACTGTAGGGTAAATAACCCACTGGGAGAGAATATAGATCATATGCATCCATTCATCCATCCATCCATCTATTCTACCATCCATCCATTCTGCCATGTACTCTATTTATCCACCAATCAATCCATCCACCTCGTCCACTGGAGGAAATCACAGAGTGGTCTCTTTGACCACATGCTGTGACCGATGGGGGTGTTTCGGGTACATCATGCTGCTTAAAACCATATAAAGCTTATAAATTGATAAGAAGGTGATAGTCCCATCGTATCATGAGTTGTTGCAGATAAAGCTATACAGTAATAAAAAATAAGAATTACAGGTGTTACTGCCAGAATAAGACAAGAACAAATGTGTCAGAGGATACTTAATAAAATGACCTGAAGCCACATGGATCTATGAGACCATCTGTCTGTGAATAGACAATAGGCTCTACGCTGTAGGAGCAGCTTCTCCTGAATGGTGCTGTTAGTACAGATTGATCTGCTGCTGTGTGGGTTTAACTTTACTTTTACCTCAACTAAGTTCTAATACTTAAAAACAACATTTACTTTAAACTGTCATATCCTGCATAATCTGGTTATTTTCCATTTGTTAGTATCAAAACCTGATGAGAGTCATTGGGTTGTTTGCTCATGTTGCTGGAAAGAGTTCTGATCAAACCACATCCACACAGTTATGTTTTTTTCTTATCAACTCAATTAATAGATAATAATTAAGATATTTGTTTATTGAGATCTTAACTTTAACTGCTAGTGATAAGGTCATGTGGCACCGGCGATGGAGAAAGTTTTCAGGAGCTTTCAGTTGCACTTCTTGTAACTTACCTGGCAGTGGCATGGCTGCATAGATAACAGAAATATAAACTACAGCGGAGTCTGGTGTTGCTGCCTCGGATGACTTGATTCAAGCATGAGGAAAGTATTAGGTTGAAATCAAGAAAACAGGTCCATCAGGAAATTACACTGCTGTTCTGACCCTAAAAAAACCTATCTACTATTTTCACCAGCAGAACAATAACTAGTCAAAAATCACCATGAAAGGAATTTACAGTGAGTTTATTATATGTTTGGTTTATGTGATGTATTCATTATATGGTTTGGATTTTGATCATTTACTCAGGATTTGAATATATATATAATTTTACCAGTACTGTAAATTGGACATGAAGTTAAATCAGATGATTAGTAACCTCTGTTAAATACTCCTCAACTTATTCTTGTCTGATGTTTGGTACTGAGCTGTACATGTAGTTGCCAGCTGTGACCAAAAACAACATAATGAATCAGCTGACTCTGAACCAATCAGTTTTCATCCGGACATCTCAACAAAGGTTCCTCCACAAAAACCTTCAAATATTGAGCAGCATAGATAATGGTTGAAATTAATACCTACTGCTATTATACTCTGCTTATCAGTATTCCAGTTTCTATTCTCTTCTTATGAACAGGGATTCTCTTTGAAATTTAGTTTGAGTTCCTGTTTGCTGTCAATATTTCTGCTGTCAAAGATTTCCTAGAAATGTTGGCTGATGCTCTACAGCAGCTCAAGGGCGCGTCCTCGTGGAATGTTAGAGCAGAACGGGATGTTGCCTGATAGTGTTTATAAGCACACAACAGTTTTAATAAAGGTTTACAACAGTGGAAACATGATAAGATGTTATCAGGCTGCTGCTGGTGTAAAAGAACATGAAACACTTTATCATGTTGATGAAGGTTAGATGATACAAGAACAAATTATGTCAGTTCTGTTGTAAAACACCTGTGAGTCAAGTAGTGTGAAGATTTATTTATAAAAACTGGATTTGACAACAGCTGGATTTAAAGCAATAAGGGATCATTTATTTGTTTGATTATAGAATAAAAAGACATTGTGACTGTTAATCAATAAATATATTAAAACAAATAATGACTGCCACAGTTTTGAATAACAAAATAACTGGAAAAAATACAAAAGATTATTGAGTTGTCATTTATTATTTTACATTACATCCACATGCGAAATGCGATGGAGCAGAGCAGTAATATTCTACAGATGCAACTGTTCGGTCTATTTCCACTGACAAACTGCAGCCTTTAGATCAACATGAGTCCCATCAAGCTCAGGACAGTGCAAACCATTGTGGACATAGACCCACTGATGGTAGTGGATGAGTCTGGATCAGAAAAAGAAAGACATTACTCTGTCTTCTCTGCTTTACACACATCAGCACAAAGAGATGCAAGGCATGTGAAAGAGAGAAAGAGAGCTCAAATACCACGTAGTATGTGGACCTCAGAGGCCTCCAGACCGGTGACAGAGTTACGGGCGGTGCATGTGTACATCCCTAGGTGCCTCTCTTCCATCTCGTGGATGTAGTGCAACGGCCCGTAGATCAGCATGTGTCTGAATCTCCAGAAGTAAGTCGCCCTTGGCAGCGAGTCAGCAGAGCAGCTCAGAGTGACACTCTCCTCCAGTTCTGCTCCGATTGGCGTCTGAACGATTATCGGCCTGTCAGGTCCATCTGCACGGATGAGGAAGAGGAGGAAGGAGAACTTTAAGAAGACTGAAAAACGGGCTTCAGCAGTTAAATGTTAATAAAGAAAAAATGAAAGTACTTACAGAAGACTTTGAGACTGCAATTGGCTGTTTCAAAACTGATATTATTGCTGACTTTACAGTGAAACTCTCCAGTATCCGTCCTGTTCACTGGGCTGATAGACAACACTCTGTTGCCCTCGTGAAAGCTGAATCTGCCTCCAGGAGCAACAGGTCTTCCATCTTTCATCCACTCTCTGGTCACAAAGCCGTCGGCATCACAGGTTAGTTTCACAGAGGTTTTACCCTCTATTAAGTTCCCTGACGGACAGGCCATGGTGGGTTTTGACATTTCGGCTGCACACAAAGAAAGAAATCAAATGACAATTTGAGACTGTAAGACTCCACATACTAGGCAGCATGACTTCAAGTGTCCTTAAAGCAGATTCACGACTATTGTTTTTCAGATTTCTCGTTCCAAGCACATGGATAAAACACAAGCATTATTTGACCTTTTAAACAGGTGTTGGATTCATCTCACTTACTCACTACTTCCAGCTGGGCAGTTCCTTGAATCTGCTCTCCTCCATTTGGGATGATGATCAACTCGTATTCTCCTGCGTCTTTCTCTGTCACATTTTTTAGCACCAGAGATCCAGTAGATTTATCCACTTCAATCCGGTTCTCGTAGCCTTGTCCCACGATGTCCACACCGGCCGAAGTGATCACATTGATGGTGCCGTTGAAGCTCCAGGTCAGTGCCAGGAACGGCTCTGCGGTCGGTTTTACAGATGTCGTGAAGGTCACGCTCCCCCCTGCTGTCCCGCGAAGGACGTCAACAGTGATGACACCGGCTCCATGGCAGACACCTGCTGAAACATGCACGTATCAACCAACATGTCACAGCTTTTAGTTCTACTGATGAGACATCTGATCAGTATTCCCAATGTCTTCCTTACCTGAGGAGAGAAGCACAAGTATGGCTGACCAGAGCAATGAGTATTTCATGGTGTATTACTCAGTTTGGTCCTCTTCTGATGTTGTGTGACCCTCTGGCTCCTGTGTTAGTGCAACAATGGAACAACTGTCCTGGAGAATATCTGTAATAAATGAACTGTCATCAAGATGTCCACAGGCCTTCCATGTTTAATTATTACCTACAGTAACCTTTGGTTATTGTTGCCACACAGACTTACATAAGCTAATAAAACACAACTTTAATTTTTTAATATAAGATATTATGATAACGATCTTTCATCAGCTCATAATGTCAGAAGTTTTAGACCAAGAGACTACAGCTCTCTCAGTTTGACTGTATGACGTTCTTTGAGCTAAATGCAAACACACTCACAGAAATATATTTGTAATAATAAAACAATAATAATGTTCATTTACACAGTACTGTTTTGGGTTTTCCATGGTTGGATCAAGATTTAAAAATTTCAAGACCAAAAATAAAATCAGATTATTAAAATAAGACGAAAGTGAAATGGAATAAAATATGTATTATTTACTATTTATATAAAATAGTTTTACCTACCAGCAGTGCTGTGCACACACGTTGATCCATGACTGTGTAAACTGTAAGCTCAGCCTTTTTAAAGATATTTATTCTGGCATTTCAACTTTACTAGTTGAGGATTTGCTGTGTTTAACTGATGCTGATGTGTGGTATGTTTGCAGATACAATCCTGGGTTTTAATTCCAAGATAAAGATCCCAGACTAACCCAACTTTGGAAAAAGGAAGGAAACAAACAAAGAGATGTTTGTGCAGAAACCTACATCTCTTCAAACACTGCACATAAATGAACCACACACTTTTACCCATTCATACACATGCATGTTTCTCAATTCTGCACAGTTTAACATCACATATTCATTATGAGATGTGCAACAGTCAGAGTCGAAAAGTTTTGGGTAGTATTGTTATTGTTATTTATAGTTTTCTTTGCCAGTCAACATTTCAGCTCATCTGCTTTATCATGATTGAATTTGCGCATTTGGTTAAAATATGAGTATGGCCTGAAACCATGAGTGACTGGGATGTCCTAAAGGTCTTTGACAAATGTGACCTTACATCTCTGAGAAATGAAGGCTCCAGTGAGTGGATCCTTACCGGCCCAACCTATCCCAGGATTCACTGCTGCCACAAAGGAAGCAGTCTTCGTAGATGACCAAAGGATGCTTGTATGTTGGCTGTGTGATGGGCTGGTGACCTGTTGAGGTTGTACCCCACCTCTCACCCAATGTCAGCTGGGATTTGCTGGACATGTCAGGTATTATCAACATTTTCAGAAAAGTCAGTCTAGTTATTGCACAAATAAAAGAGTGTTAAAGAATCTGAAGACAGAATGAGGCCCAGTGTGTGAGGTCAGGGTGATGGAGGGGTTTACCTGTCTGTGCACAGGGGAGGAGTTCTGAAGGGGAGGTTATATAAGGTCTTGGTGTGTCCAACTGATCCCTTATAATTGAGATTTTTAAATTATTTATTTATTTATTTCTAAAACTCTAAAACTCTAAAACTAATATGATTATAAGACATCCCGATTCACACTTTATACCAGCAGGTGGCAGCAATGCACCAAATTTGCCAACCACCAATAACACCCAAAAGAAGAAGATGGAGGAGAAGAAGAAGAAGAAGAATGATTAATGAGACCATGCGGCCACCAGTAAGTTTGTTTCTGTTTATTGTGCCAGTTGTTTGAGGTCATTTAGTGATGATTCTAATTCAATGTCAATGTGTGTTCGATGTTTACTACTTCATAATGACCTCTAACATCACCCCATGATTGGATTTCTTTTGTTGGGTTATTTGTCCTCATCATAGACAGCGTGATTTAGGAGTGACTGAGATAAACTTTGTTTCAGCAGGTTTACAGTAAATCTGGTTTAAACACACAGTGGAGTCCAACATGAGATGATTGACCATGATATGTACTGTTTTAACTGGTGATACTGAAAACACCAAATTTACTGACTGTTATTCCAGAGACTGATTTAAAAACAGTTAGATGGTTTAAAGGCTTAATTAAATAACCCTTTGTGATCATTGTTTTTACTATGGATTTAAGTTTAGAATGGCTTTGACACATGAAAAACTCTTTCCTGGAATATATTTTATTTCATTGTCTAATTGTCTGGTCCTGTTATTTGTATTTATTTTTTTATCATTATTTACCCTATTCCAAAATGTTAAATACAAACATGTTAGTGCAGATTCTATACATATTTTAATGTCTTAACTTTATGTATTGTCTTTTGTATACTGATGGCTTCATTAATCTCTAAATCTCAATGTTTTTAATAATTTCTAATTCAACATCCTTTATCAATTGCCTGTAAAGCACATTGAATTTCATTTGATTTGTTTGAAAGCTGCTATTGATATATTGATAGAATATATAATTTTTTGTGGTTTTCTAATAAACATTTTGACATTTTTATTGAGACTCCGGTGTTCTAGTGTTCCAGCATTCAGCGTAAAGTGTTAAAGTATTTAGCTGTTATTCTGTTTCATTAAAGTATAATTGTCTGTAATGATGTTGACTCCGATCAGTCTGACAGTGATGCCATGTGGTGTCGCCTCCTCACTGACTGGATTTATCATTTGCTTGAGGTTGACCTCTGACCTTAATGGTTACTGATTCACCTCCAAGCTGAATAGAGGTTTTCATGAAGTCAGCTTCTATCTAGAAAATAAATTGTGTGAGGCCTGACTCGTGAACATTGATGTGTTTTTTAAAGCTCTTGTCGTCCGACACATCGATCACTCTCTTACTGTTCTGGACAAAGAGGAACACAGAACAAACAGACGAGGGACACAGAGGCTGCCAACAATATTATCCTTTTTGAGTTACACGTCAGAGTTAAACATCTGGGCTGTATTCAATTCACCCAATGCAAAGTGTGTGAAACAAATGTGCTGTTTTTGTTGTAAAAATGTATGGTGGTGAAATAGATATAACAAAAAGGGACAGCAGCTGTATAATGGCAGAATCTACAACTTCTATGACATTCAAGTTCACTTTAACTGCCCTTAAACCCTGAACTGCTTCAAAGCCTTGGTGTTGTCTTTTTGTTTTCTGATTTTATTTTCATTGCTTTTTTTGGTTTTGTGTATGTTTGATGTCCAGAGGGAGGTGCTGTGATCTCAGATACAAAAGAGGGGAATAAAATGAATGAGATATTGTACTGTGTGTGTGTGTGTGTGTGTGTATTCAGAACAGGCTTCACTGGTTCAGTGAATGTTGATAGGGAGAACGTTTCCTCTTTCGTTCCCACTCCTCACCCTGAGCGTCTGATCTTGCTTTATGTAACTTTGGCGTTTATCTCCAGTATTCAGCCAGTAAACTTTAATAATAAGAATTGTGAACAGATTTGGTGGGTTAGGGTTGGTCACAGCAGCAGCACCTCTGGTAATATCCACTGTGGTTCAGTTCTGGGACTTTGCAGTCAGAGCTCCAGTTAACAGAATAAATCCATACATGCAGCTGTTACTCAGTGAAAGTTTCCTAATGTTGACCACATTGTGTGATAATGACATGACATTAAATGTGTGAGATTAACATTTGGTGCCGGCGAGAGGCTGGGTGCTGCCCGTGGCCAGAGTATCACAGGGCTGAAAAAGAGACAACCACACATTTTGTATAAATGTACGTTTTTGAAATATTCAGATTACATACACAAGAAAATAATTTAAAAAAATGATTGTGTAGTAAAATAGTTTAGGATACCCAGTAATGTTTAAAGTAAAAGAAAACAGCCTCACTTTTACCTGCGTCAACGTTAAAGTGATTTTAGTCCGGTAATATTATATCTATCATTCGGAAGTATTTTGGTTCAGGTATAATGTGATGCAGGACTTTAATTATTTCCTTGTAATTATTTTTATAATGCTATAGCTAGATATTTTATTTGTGCACTACCAAGTGGAAAATGTGACATCTATTCTAAGTAAGTATTATAATAAATACTAATATGTAAATGAATAACAATATCTGTCTCACCTGCTGTGTGACACAGGTGTACTCAAATACTGAACTTTGCACCACCGCAGTTCAAACAATGACACAGGTGTTTACTGAGCGATATTGTGTGGGGGGGTGGAACAGCTCCATGAAACCAAAAGGCAGAAGAATAAAAACCTCTCCCACAGCCCCCACTCCCCAGTGGTGCCTCAAATACCTTCTGTCATAATTTGTCATTTCACTGATTGGCCATCTACAGAAACTTCACCCAGTAAACATGAAATGTAAGGCACCTTTTGTACGTTTGAAAAGAGTGGACGCTCAATAAACAGAAACACAGATAAAGACTTGGGTTGCCACTGCAAGTATTTATGGGTAGGGGGCTGGATGTGTATAATAGGCAGAGAAAGTGGGGATATTCTCAGACCACCAAAATGAAGAAGGAGCGAGAAGGAGCACTAGTTGTTATATTGCTGGCTTTTATGCAATGTGAGCTCTGTTACAGCTGCTGGATTTCTGATGAGAATTTAACCGTGGTTTTTAAGTTTTTGGTGTGACTTGTTTTATAGTAACTAACTAACATTGCTCTCCTCCTCAGGTTTTCTGGCCTCTGCTGCTGTGGAGATCCAGGCCTCCACCAACCCTGCTGTGGTCGGGGCCACGTTGACATTGTCTCTGTCTCCTCCACCATCCATGAAGAGGGGGAGCTGGACAGTGGGAAGCTCCCTCATCCTCAACTGGGAGGCGGCCCAGGAGGCGGTGGTCCCCAGCTACAGCGGCAGGGCCACAGTCAACGTCCTCACCGGAGCTCTGACTCTGAGCTCAGTCACGGTGGCTGACTCAGGAGTCTACGTGGTGCAGAGCACTGACCCGCAGCTTCAGGCCACCACTTCCATCTCCGTTCATGGTGAGACAACACACCGATGGTTGATTTAAGGGTCAGAGTAGTAGCTCAGCCAAAAGAATCATTACAGCTGCTCCCAAACATTGAATTCAAACCAAGAACTGAAATATGGGTTTGATTTTTCAATAGTTTTTAGAACACCATTGTCTGTGCATAATTGAACTTCCTGAAAAAGATTGAGTCCATGTTAAATCCAATCAACAAGGTTTAGTGATAATGAATACCTGTAACAAACACAATTTTATCATTTCTTCACTATCTTATTTATTCTATCTTTCTCAAGGACGGTTGAGCAGGTGAACGCCTTGTATCACAAACATCTGAACCATTATTCATTTGGATCACAGTTCAAAAATGCGTTGACGCTGAAGACGTTTACCGTGCTTTCATTACTAAAACTGGTTTACCAAAGAAAAACATGGATTCCAAAACAAGGTTCAGAAAGTTCCTGCTTCGTCACAGTTGGAATGACAGGCGGCAGATTTACACAGCCCAGTACTGACTGAGACAGCCTGCATGTGTTTTGACTTGGGTGTCCTTTTGCTCATATGACGTTGTCCTCTGGTTCGTCTGTGTCCGTCAACACTCGCCTCTATCCTGTGAGCTCATGTTCCTTCATTTTCACAGAAACTGTTTCTGCTCTGTCAGTAGCCCACAACACATCCCTGTCTATCCATGCAAAACTAAAAAGCACACAATTAATGGTTTATAAAAGTTTTTTTTGGCATTGTGGTTATCCTCCAGAGAAAATGCATAATTATAAATCATAATCTTTAATCATGATGTCTTACTTTTTAACATGGTGACTTTTTTATCAGGGTTTTCTCATTTTTTTAATTAAACGTAAAGTTACATTAATCATTTTATTAATTTACAGTTAAGTTGTATGAAATCGTCTTAAAGTGGACATAACTGAGTGAATCCCTGTATGTTCTTATACAGTGCAACTATAATAACTATATCACTTTACTAACAGAAGGTCACAATCCCATTATTTTATCATCACATCTTCTACAGAACCCATTTCCAATGTAACACTGAAGGCAAATCAAACCGACTTCATTGAGTTCAACGCTTCAGCAGTCGCTTTGTGCTCCGTCTCCTCTGGATCCTCTCTCTTCTTCCTCTGGATGAACGGCAGCTCCGAGGTCACGGCCAGCGACAGAGTTCAGCTCACTGATGGAAACTCCTCCCTCACTGTCGTCAACGTGAGCCGCTATGACCCCGGACCATTCCGGTGTCGTGTGTCCAATCCTGTCAGTAACGGCACCAGTGATCCAGTAAAGTTTACCATCATCTGTGAGTAGGATGATTTAATCGTAATGATAACGATTGGCACATGTAATCATGCAGCTCTACAGCAGAGCTTTAATGTGCTGTATGCCTCTATACTTCTTTCCGCCTCTCTCCTTCAGACGGACCAGACAACATGGCTCTCACAGTGAATGGATCCTTTTTAGTTGGATCCAATCTGACCATGCTCTGTTCCGCTCAGTCCAACCCTCCAGCTCAGCTCCAGTGGGCTTTCAGAGGAGCTTTTCTGAACACGACCGGTCCACTGTTGGAGCTGTACGGCATCACAGAGGATCACAGTGGTCCCTATTCCTGTGTGGCCTTTAACAATCAGACCAACATGAACAGCAGCATCAGCTCAAACATCGCAATAACAAGTGAGTCTGTTGGTATCGTGACATCGACTTCTAGATTTCTTCATCAGCTTTCATATATTTTCTTCTTCTTCTATCAGTCTTCCAATGTACACCAACGAAACAGCTGCTGTAAAAACCTGTGATGCCTCCAGTTTGACAAGATAACAAAGTCTATCTGTTGTTGTCCATCAAAACGTTACGTGCAACAGAATCTGTAAATGCTACAATTAAAGGTTGGCTCAATGGTATTTCGGAATAATTCTAGATTCTCGCTTACATTTTATAAAGACATAAGACTTAGCTGTTTCAAGATGATGCTGCTTGACATCTGCTTTTTCTAAACTCAGTGATGTTTTTACATACTGTACATCCTGTTGTTTAACTGCATGGTCTCAGGCCCTTTGTCTTTTAGGGATGTTTGTCTGTGTAAATTGTATCAGTCCCTAAAAATTCAAGCATAAATAAATATTTGAATTTGTTCCCAGCTTCACTCTTCCTTTGGTTTGTCTCTACAGAGTCAGGATCTAACCAACAGGCCGTCAATGTGTGGCTCCTCTTGCTCCTGTTGTGGGCGGGATTCCTCTTCTCAGTTCAAGGCAAGTTGTAGAATAATTTCATGTAAATACATAAAAACATATTATTATTTATACTCATCAAAAACATCTTAAAGAATGGATTGATGTTCAATTCTTGTAGTCTCATAAAAGAAAAAAGTGTTTTTATCCCTTTGAAACAGTGATGTTTTTTAGTTCTTGACTTTAGCATGATATGATGAATAAAATGAATAAATTATATTTGCAGGAAGGCGACATTGAGGCTAAATTGCTTCCTGTTGTGCCCAAATATGAAATAAGCATAACAGGTGATGTTATGATCACTTCATTCTTGATCAATATGATCTGCATTCCTTCACAGATGTTGCTGTTCCTTCAGTCCATGGATGACTTTGATGCAGTGAAATAAATTTGAAAAAGTAAACTTTTATGTAAAAATGTGTGTGTCTGCATGTGCGTGTGTGTCTGTGCGCGTGTGCACGGACATGTTAACTGGCGATAGCCTGTGTCCTCTTTTGGAAAAATATTTTGGGGTCAGTGGAAAAGGTTAATAGTTTGGGGTCACACAAGAGATGGTTATGGTTTGGTGATAGGCTCAACGAAATTATTGCAAGTCTATGTAATGACCTTTAGCTTGCCTGATTAAGTTTCATACGTTCTGTTCATACAGCATTTTAAGTTAATGTACTAATCATTACATAAAATTCCCCCATGATGTATTGTTCGCAAACCCCTGTGGTTGATAACGACATAAATTTTAATAAAATGCCACTGCAATTATTCTTTGTACAGTCTTTGTACCTTCAGGTCTGTGTTGGTCCTGTCGTGCTGAGCACTCATGATATCATCTCTGACTGCTTTCACTGTTTGAATAAGATAAGTTTCAGAACAGGTTCTTATGCGTTTAACCACAAAGAACAGTCTTGTGACAGAGCTCAGAAGAAACATGTCAAACATTTTATAATGCCCCCAAGATATTTTTATATTTTTAAGGGCTATTTAGAATATTTCAGGGTTTTGTGTTCCTCTTATGGAAAAACCTTCTTATCTCCTTTGTTCACAAACAAAACAACACATTTTTATCTTTGGTTACAATAAACAGAGAGAAAGAAAGTTAAAGGTTGTGTAAAAGGACAGGCAGTCTTCTGTCCCCTATTAAAACATGTCAGTGTAATCATAATGCTACAGCCAAATAATAATAATAATAATAATTACCAAATAACCCATAACAGCAAGATCAGATAGAAAGATCAGATTGACTGATGAGGAGGTGATCTACTTTTATTTTTTTCAAATTTTCCAAGGTTTATATCTAAAAAATGTTGTAGTTCACAGTGCAGCAGAGGACACTGCTCAGCACCATTTGTTAAAGAGTATGTGATTCCACAGTATGAGGGTTTTGATGCACTTATTCTTCCAAGTCATGCAGTACACTTACAAAATATCCTCATGACGCCTCAGTCTGGTTAGATGAAAGTTGCCAAACCACAAAGGTTTACAGTAAATGGACACTCCTTGGAGTGTACCAGTAAAACCTCGGAGTGGACAGGGCAAAACAAGGTGTGGCCAGGGAAAGGTGTGTGAGAGGTGGCACGGTGATGTTACACTGGGGGTAAGCATTTGCACCAAGTGAACAGAACACTGGAGTGATGCAGAGCAAATATTTGCAGATCAGAAAGCGACTGTGACCACACAATATCGCCAGATCTGAATTCATCACAGACATTGTCAAGACCTGAAGCGAAACTGAGGAGAATGGAGTCTTCAGTTGTGTTTCTCCTAATCCTGGTCACAATAACCTTTTCAACAGGTAAGACTGAATTACATTTTTAAACTTGAATTCATTTTACATATTGTATTGCATTGATTTTCATTTCAGATATTCAATGTGTCTTTTTAAATGCACCACTTCGGTGAATATTTGTGTTTTATAATTTATCTTGCCAATAATTGTGTGCAGATGATGACTGCAGTTCAGGGTGACTGAATACATTGTCTGTTCCTTGCTTTCTGTGTCTAGACTGCGGGTCCTGCCAGACAATCGTTGCCTCTGAGAACCCCTTACCTGTGGGCAGCAATGTGACACTTAGCAGCCAGACAAATGTCACTCAAGGGGTATGGCTGTTGAACAACAGCATGATTTTGATGATCTTTGGGGGAGATCCTTTCATAAATGTGCTTTGGCGTAATAGAGTTACATTTAATGCAACCAATTCATCGTTGAGCATAAGGTCAGTGCAGCTGGCAGACTCTGGAGTGTACACGTTACAGGAACTGAATGTTTTTCGTGCCGAGTTAACTCTCTCCGTTCAAGGTAAGGACCATTTTCTCATGTTTACTCACTCTCTTGAATACTTACTCATATCCAACAAATGCAGATTAAATGTTCAAGTTGTAGACTGAATATGAAAATAAAGGATGAATTTCAACTTCCTTCTGTTGAACAAAACTGACGACAAAATATCGTGTAGGGATCTGCACAGTAGTGCCGTTGAGCCACAGTGTCAAGGTCCCACGATGTGCACTTGACCAATCAGAAGTCTTCACCCCACTTTTACAGCGTGTGTCCAAAACCAAAAATAAGACTTGAACAAACAAGGTGATTTACAAAAAAAGCCTTAAATGACAGACACAATCTTTGTGAAAAGTTTACTTTTTTATTTGGCCCATGTCCTCTCTGCTAACATGGAGGACGCAGGGTATATATCTTATAGAGCAGCCAGCCACCAGGGGGCAATACAGATATTTTGGCTTCACTGTTGGGGACTGTCATGCCATTTATCTCAAGTTGGTCTTGTGTTCAGTCCACAGACCGGACAGAGGATCAAAATCTATTTCAAGAGAGCCAAGAGAAGTGGTCTCGGTTGGCTCTTTTGCAGTTAGAAAACACAATTAAATTATAGATGGTTCAGACTTTCTGACGAATTGCAGAAAGTTGACACAGCATTAACAATAGAGGAAGAAAAGGAAGCAGAAGGCTTACTGTTTTTCAAACAACCAAGTTGCCAAGGCTCACAGGTTTGCTTGCAGTTTTTGCTTCTGACTATATTGTCTCCGATGACATAGTATTTGAACAACGATGATATCCGTGGGCACTGGAAAAAATGATTATTTAATCAGAAGGGTTACAATTCAGTATAACCTCAGCATGTCCATACAAGCTAACAAATAGTTTGTTATTTCTCTCTCTACAGTGCCAATTTCAAATGTGACCCTGATGGCAAAAGCAACCAATCTGGTGGAGTTCAATGACACAGCCGTCCTCATGTGCTCTGTGTCCCACGGCACGTCCCTGTCTTATGTTTGGCTGATGAACAACACTGTGTTCAGTGGTGGAAATGTACAGCTCAGTAACGGAAACGCCACCCTCACCATAGTCGGCGTGACCCGCCATGACGACGGGGCATTTGCGTGCATGGCGATTAATGGCATCAGCAATGCAACCAGTCCCCCTGTATTTCTGAACATCAGCTGTGAGTTTTAAAAAAAGTCAAATAAAACAAGATAATAGGACAAATAGGATATAAATGAGTCAACTCCTCACATTAACTCTGAAAACAATCTCCCTCTTGCCGTGTCTTCAGATGGCCCAAGCAACACATCGATGATGATCACGCCCATGAAGTCAGACCACATTTACAGAACAGGATCTAATCTCACATTGTCGTGCTCGACGCTCTCCAGTCCTACAGCAACGGTTGAGTGGATGGTTAATGGGGTGGCTCTGAATAAATCTGGCAGGTGGATCCACCTCCACAACGCTGCAGAGAGCAACTCAGGAAATTACAAATGTGTATTTCACAACCCTGTCACATCCAGGTTCAGCAGCGCAAGTACAATGATCCAGATTTTAGGTAAGATACACCTGTTGTACATTAGAGGTGTTCTCTTTATTTTAAAGAAATTGCTTAACATTAAGTGTTTTTTATATAAAAAATTGGATTAGATAGTTGTTAGGGCTTTTTTTTCAATATGGAGCATGATTAGCTTTGCATTGAGACTGAGAGAATTTGGCGAAAGCTTTTTCTGAAGAAAATAAAACTACTACCAACAACTCTCAAGCTTACCAGTGAACATGTCATATTTGGATTTGATTTGATCCAGAAAAAAAACAGAGAAAAACAATGAAAAGTTGTTTATGTTGTAGACTACTGTACACGAAGACACCATCATGTGGCCAGGAAACAGAGACTTGTTTGTGGGGATGTTCATTTACAGATATCAGCATCGAAAATGTCTCCAATAACGAAGACAATTGGAATATTGGAAAATTTTTACTTGTATAATTAAATATAATTTGTTAATTAGAAAACATAAGATGATCTCATATGGCTATGAGAGTGGTGGTGGTCTCTGCAACACAGGAAATAAGAATAACCCCCAAACTGTTTCCTCAGATATTTGTGAAACTTCATACATGTGTGGATTAAAATTTCTCTATACCTTTCTCCTCTATTAGATCCACTAGAAGCCGTCACAGTGAATCGTATTGGCGGACCGGCGATACTTAATAAGTCATTCACTCTGCATTGTGAGGTGACTGGAACTGTAAACAGAATCCAGTGGTGGAGGAACTGGCAGCTTATTGTTCCTGACAACACAACGATCATTGATATGAACAACAAGACGCTGACTCTAAACCCAATCCAACATTCAGATAATGGAGATTACAAGTGTCAGGCTTTTAACGCTGTGAGCAACATGACCAGCAGCCCTTACAGAGTGGAAGTGAATTGTGAGTATTCCATTTTCTGTCATCACTGTTGTGAATGTGGTCACATGTTGTCAATTAATCACAAAATACCTGCTGATTGTTGGTGTAAGTGGAAACTCTATTGGGAAATTCTCTCTCCATGCACAATTCTGCATTGAATTTATGACATATGTTTTCAATGGAGATGATTCAAGTTTATATCTATGTGTTTAGATGGGCCGGAAATGCCAACTATCATGGGACCTTCCTTGGTGAAGGCAGGATATAACATCACACTCACCTGCAATGCATCATCAAACCCTCCCGCCTACTACAGATGGTATTTCAATGAATCTCTCGTGGCTGATACAGCTGAGTATGTAACACCTCGTCTAACTGAGGATATGAGCGGGATCTACACTTGCAAAGCCTACAACAACATCACCAGCCAAAACAAGACCGCACACAAGATGCTTACTGTTGTTGGTGAGTCTTGTTGGTGGAACATTTTATCTTTCTGCATATGTTTCCTACTTGAAGAATAAATGAATAAATTACCTTTGATTTGTTTCAGACCCAATAACAGACGTCCGTGTAGAAACCCCAATGTATCCCCCCAAAGAAGATTATCCCTACATGCTAACATGCAATGTGACCGGACCTGCTGATCATGTCTATTGGAAGAAAAATGACAGCGGACATGGTTTCCTTGGAAATAACAAGACACTCAGCTTCAACCCACTACACCGCAATGATACTGGATATTACAAATGTATAGCTATGAACGCTGTTGGAAATATGTCTAGCCCTCTTCATGAGCTCCTCGTCAATTGTGAGTATAGCATTAAAAAGATTTATGTTACTGGAGACGACATGTTATTATAACTGATCGTTTTAGTGTAGGGCAACATGCTGAGATATCTAAATGCATAGAGTACCTGCTATTTTCTTTGCTGTTGCAGTCGGACCAGAACCAGCCGTCATATCTGGGCCAAGGTTTGCTGAGACAGGAGAGGTCGCAACCTTCAAATGTTCCGCCATGTCAGTGCCGTCCAGTCAGTTCAGCTGGTGGTTCAATGGCACCGAAGTGGCCAATACGTCAGTGTTTACGACCGAGCCTTTGTCTTTTAACATGAGCGGAGAATACACCTGCATGGCGTACAATCGTGTGACGAGAGAGAACAGCAGCGTTTCCATTATGGTCACTGTCATTGGTAAGATAACTCAAGTATGGGGAGGGGTTAGATGAGATATCAGGAAATGTGGACTTTTTAACTTGTGTGACTCTGCAACAGGTCAAATGTTGATTTATTAGAGAGTGAGGAAAGTTTTAAAGGAGACTTTTTAGTTTTCCCTTTCTTCAAGGGTGTTTTGGGTTGTTTGTGTGTCAATAGTCTCGCCGTTAAGTCCACACATCCCTCAACAAAGGGGAGGCCGACATTTTCTATACTCACTGGAAACGGTTGACCAATCACAAAAAAAAGGGGACAGCCGGCCAATCAGAGCCGACTGGGTCTCATCAGGAGGGGGCCTTAAAGAGACAGGAACTAAATCCAAGCGTTTCAGAGACACTGTACCGATGGACAGTATGAGCATTAGAGCATTAAACCTTTTCAAGTAACAACACAGATTCAAATTGTGAACCTGAATACGAGCATGATATGTCCACTTTAATTTAATGAAGCGTTACCACGATGTCTCACTGTTTTAACTCCTTGTGCTTTGTGTCTACAGAGGCCATAGAGTCAGTGATGATCAACGCCAGCACTGTTCCAATTTACTTAGAAACCTTCACTCTGACTTGTGAAGTCACTGGGCCCTACGACGCCATCTACTGGATGAAGAACAACACAGTTCTCAATATGAATGCCACACATTACCACATGGAAAACAACATGCTGCACTTCACCCCAGTGACAACAGACAATGATGGGACATATCAGTGTGTCGCTACCAATAAGGCTGCTAAGCACATAAGCCCCAAATACACACTACTGGTGAATTGTGAGTATCATAGGAAAAAGAAGAACCAAGATGAATCATGTTACAATACATCAATCTGACCAACTCTCTGTCTCTTTGCAGATGGCCCTCTGAGTATGGAGATCAGTGGTCCATTCGTAGGACTGGATCTCATTGTGTCACTGATATGCTCTGCTGATTGTCAGCCTGACTGTGACTTTACCTGGTATCTAAACAGCAACTCAACAGCAGTGATACAGACTGGCTACGTTATCACTTTCCCTGTAGCTCCAGCACATTTTGGGAACTACATATGTGTTGCAAGAAATCCAGTGACCAAGATCACCATGTACAAGTCGAAATCCTTCACTGTGACGGGTCAGTAAGCCTCACATCTCCTCTGCCTCATTACCTCTTCGCCCATGTCTGTTTGTTTGTTAGTTTGTTTGTTTGTAAGCAAGAATTCACAAAGACAAGGAGGTGGAAGGATATTCCCATATGAATGGGAGGAGCTCATTAACTTTTGGTGTGGATCCAGCTCAGGGAGAAGATTTTCACTTCCCTTAACATTGTGTAATAATAATAATATTTTTACCAAATTATTAATTTATGGAAAAAATAGGCACATTTTCAGAGACTGATTTCTAGGAGCTTGATTGAATTGAAGGAGACTGGAGGAACGTGCTCTACTCAGTGCCAGTCTAGGTTTTTAATGTGGTTTCAAAATACATTTATTGTCTTAATAACAACTTGAACAAAAGTGGATTTGTGAAATCTTATGTGCTCAATCTTTTGGATAATTAAAAGACGATCACGTACACCCGAGTCATTTTGTAAATCTTTACAGAAATACAACTACAACATACACGTCACTTTATTCCTCATTATCTACGTCCCTCTATCTCTCTCTCAGGTCGCGCCCCAGGCGTCCACTTCTCATCCGGAGGTGGTCTCTTGATGATGGGTCTGTTTGCTGTGTTCGTCCCTGTCCTGTTCACCTGAGTGCTCGACACTGACAAATCTATAGCCGGTGTGAAGAGCTCTTTCTCCCTCTACAGTCTATTTAACAAACATACTGCAGGGAACATATTCAACATTAATCATATAATTTTCATGCTGATGTCCAAGATTCAAATTGTCTTATTTTTGCAGTGCTTGCTTTGTGTTTTTTTATGTTAACTGTTAACTTAATTGGTGAGTTAAACTTGTAGGGTTAATGTTGTGGTAGCTGCTGTGACTTTCCTGGAGCCAGTTTCATAAAAATAATATCTATACACTTACATAGTTTCCTCTGTTTTGGTTCTACTTGAAATTATTTTCTGTTGTGTGTAATAATATTAAAACTGTAAGTAAATGTATATTTGATCATACTTTGATTAACTGTACTTATTTTTTAATCAATAAAAATCAACACAATCCGTTTTGTCGAGAGAATTTGTGGGAGAATTTGTATACAGTATAAATAAATATGATACACATGTATAAGGGTATACAGTTTATAGGAAGGGCTTCATAGTGTTGTTCATATGGGGACACAGAGACTCATCTTCATGCTCTTTTCACCGTCCTTCATTTGGTAAACAAGCAGCACTTTCTCAGATTCTTAAACGTTTTCATCTGGCACAATAAAAAAAATACGATTAGTTTTCTGTCTAAAACATGTAAAAATCCATGATTTATATCTGCTTTCAGTTTAAATAAGGAGAATGCACTGGATGCAAGACTTTTTATCAGTGATATTGCTTGTGACTGGTTCATATACTTTCTTAAATTAAAGGACTATAGGTAACTCACATTTTCCATGTTTGTCACTGCGTCTTGCAAACTGGAAATAAAGGCAGGATCTCTCTTTCCTTTCCTAAGTGACCCAGATACACAGGAGCAGGACGGGATAAATAATCATTATTATGATTACATATAAACTGATGATACTAAATACAAACTGAATATTAAGTATGATATCAACCAAAAACAGTAAATCTCTTGTGTGTATATGTACTACAGATGAATCTAGTGGTCTAAAAAAGCAGCAGCGCTTCGGTGATGATGAATCAACATCAAAACGCAGATCTGATCAATCAGTCAAGGGAAACTTAAATCATTTGGTCTTCATGTTTAATGCATTTTCTATCACTTACACAATCAGCCACCCTGGGGCATAATTCAGAAGCATTGTAGTGTGAAGTAAAGCCTTTCAGATTACCTAATGGGACATTACATTTCAGAGAGGACTGCACCTGAAGCACAAGCAACTATAGGTGTATAAATGTGACTTCACAAGCTACTCAAACAGCCTTTCACAACAAAATCTGTCACTATCACAACGGGTAAAGCAAAGGTACAATAATGAAATAACGTGACGTGAAACGCAAATAGGCAGTAACGGGCAGTGAAAAACATTTGGTCATTCAACTTAACATGTACAAAAAGACATAAGGCATCACAACAAGAGCAAATAAAGCTATTGACAAGTAAACTGAATTCATTAAACTTAGTGAAACTGAGAATACCAAAAGACAAATTAATGTGATTTCTTAAACAGGGCATTTCTTGTATCATGTCAATTTGTTTATCAGATTTCATGGAACCTCAAGTGCTACAGTCTCACAGCCTTTCTCAAATAATGTGCCAGTAACCTCACTCTGACAGTATATTTTGCAATAGAAGATTTCTTCTAAAAAGTCCAGGTACATCAAGCTGCTTTGATAGAGGACAGCTGTAGCTGGAGAGAGCATGAAGTTACAAATAAAAGTTAAAAAGGTGCAGAATTAATTTTTGACCGACAGCATGTTTAAGTTGCTGCATCTTTTTAAAGCCTTTATTCATAAACACTCTGATCTCTATGGTTAATGCAAAAAGTTCCCCTTGTGTCATGTGGCAAAGAAATTAAATAAACTTTTTGATGAAAAACACTTTTGAAACAAAAAGCTAGTGGAACAGATGCTTACCGGGAATAGAGGCAGGACTTTTTCTCTCTATAGCACAGTACATTTAATTTTTGACTGTATCACAGACACCAAAAACTTAATGGTCCCATTACCTCTAACAGTGGTCACCAACCCTGGCCTTGGAGAGGACTTACACAAATAGTGTGTGCAGCTCTTAGCCCTTAATAACTGACTGATGGTTGCGATGCTCTCTGGGAACAGGGAGGAGGACCACTGTGGTAGTGTAAGCAGGTGCACTGGCGGCTCAATTCTCAGCAGGTTTATCTAGCATGGATTTAATATGAGCGTGCAGGGGTTGACACACGGCCTGGTAGCCCTGGGGAGTCAAGTGAAGGTAGTCGTACATGTCCTGGTGGGAAATGCTACCATTGGAGTGGACAAAGCCGGGGTTGACGTCGAGGAAAGAGGCGTGGGGGAGGGTCGATACGGCCTCCTGCACCAGCATGTTCACTTTGGCATTTCGCTCCCGCAGGGGGTTTGGCAATTTACCCCTGGGCAGCAATCCCTGGAAAACAAAAGTAGGTATGTATTGTAAATGCAATGCTCCCTGACCTTTTTTGTAATATTTTTTACAATAAAAAGTCCCAATATCAAACTGTTTCCAACGGAATGTAAATTTTGTAAAAATGATGAAGAAATCTTTGTTTTTGGTGTATATAAACTTTAGATTGTGTCTATAGTGCTACAAAATGAAGAAATACCTTGAAAAAAACGCATCTGGGTCACTCTGTGTCTAATCATCACACCTGCTAATTTGGTCAGATGGGAAGAACTACGGAACTGAAAATGTATGTGTCTTGGTTCCTGTTATTTGTTATATTGAGTATATCACACTGTTTGGATAAGTATAGAGCTGTAAAAGAGCTCTTAAGTTCTAAGTTATACATGGCCATGTGGGTATGGCTTGAAGACAGAAAACTGCGATGCATCCAAGCCAGTTTACTTCAACTCAGACAACAGAGATGAGAGTAAAACTGTGCAGTTGGACGGTTACATGAACTTTAGTTATCATCAACAGACATGCAGATAAGTAGATTAACACTTTTGGTATCAGAGAAAACTTACAAGCACAAGCGTGTGGGCATGGGGGAGCTTGTTCTTGATGACTTGGATGATAGCCATGATGCCTTCACAGATCTGTTCAGGGGTGTGACCATGGTTGTTGGTGCCTACCCACAGCACTACAACCTGCAACAACAAAAGAGGAAAGATTGTGTGACTAAGCAGATGTCATTGATAGCTTGGGGTCAGTGTACCTGGAATTAGAATCTCAGCACAAACTTGAGCACAATGTGCCTATTGTGTGAATAAATAAGCGTGATCATGCTTTCTATTTTTTTGCAGTGTTTTGGACCTTTGGGCTGATGTTATCCAGTTCGCCATTGCTCAGTCTCCAGAGCACATGTTGTGTTGCATCACCACCCACCCCGAAATTTAGGGCATGGAGAGGAGAGAACAGCTGCCTCCATATCTGCAGGCAAACCATGTCCACAATTAGACAGTGTGCATATGTGTTTATGAGAACATCACAAGGTGTCAAACAGCATACTGAAAAGACACGTATACAAATGTGGTTTATGTTTTACCCCAAACTGGTGCATGAGCTGGACAAGAGAGTCTCCAACAAACAGGACATCAGGTTCTTTGTCTTTACTGTCGCTCACAAAGCGGTTGTGCTGCAAAGAGAAAAAGGGAAAAACATATATTAAGACTTTTCTTCTTCTAATGACCCAATAAATGCAAAATCAGAGGCTACTTTTAAAGGTATTATTACAGTTGACAGAGCGCCAATGATTAATCAATAAGTAAATCAATAAAAAAGTAAGCAGCAACTATTATGGAAATAGATTAATAGTTTAGCCTTTTCTTTATGCAAAAATTACAATGATGCCTTTTCCAGCTTCAACGTGTCATATTACATAAGAAACTCACTCTGGGTATTGAACTGATGGTTGAACAAGCAAACTGACTGCATCTCATTTGGCCTATAGGAGAGTCTAATATTCATTTAGAACCATTTGCTTACATATTATAAATTATATACAGATGAATCCATAATGAAAAAATAAATATTTGTTTGTAGTTTTAAAAATAACATTTTAAACCATTTTCATATGAAATATAGAGACAAAAATCCGAAACATAATGCTGTACATTACTTAGAGAGGAAAATCTGAAAGTATTTGCCTGAATAAAGGATAAGATATTTTATGGGAGGATTAAATATTAAAGCATATTATACTGCATATTATACATTCTATTAGTACTGAGGTATTTTTCAATGTGACAAATTACAAAATACAAACTTTAACTATACAGAAGGGCTGGAGCTAACAATTAGTTTCATTACTAATTCATATGCTGATTGTTTTGATGAATTGATTGAACTAGGGGAACAAATTTAAGAAATCCCCCCAAACAGTTTCACAGAGCAGAAAATAATGTTTGTAAAAATCTTAACTGACCAACAGTTTAAAAGCCAAAGATACTGTTGCAGCTCTACAATACAGTTATTTCACATATAAAATAAAATGGCAACCAATGAATTATTAATCTGCTTTGTTTTATGGCCTGATTTGAACAACTTAAGGATATGCTGGCTGTTATTATGAAAGCAACGTTAAGAGCTGGACGATGTGTGATCAAGATTAAACTTTTCACATCAGTCAATACCTATCAAAATAAATTCCACGTATTTATTTAAAGTTAAATCAGTTACAGACTGTTTTTTTTCCTCCTGAGTGATGGTTGTGGTTTTACACTCTTCAAACAATTAAGCAAAACATTTAACAAATATGAGGTTAATCAATTGTGTCTTCTACCTCCTCACTGTACTTGCACAATGCATAAGCAATACATAGATATACTGAACCTTCGTTAAACACGCTATTGATGATATTTATAATGTGATCATTACTGATATTGTTTTATTGCCCTGAGCAACATGCAGCACAATGTGTCTGCCTCGGATCATTATCAGCTATGACACCTTTCTTAAAACTCAAATATTCAGTCATCAAGGTGAAAACTAGCGGAGTAAAACCAGGGGGGACAAGTCCCAGAAACCTTCAGGATAACAAGGAGGAGTTCACACACCAGAGACATCCATCGTCCATCTCCCTGGATGTCCTCACAGGGAGTGGGTGTGGCGGCTGGGTTTGGGTCTTCTGCACTCATGACTGGACGCTACACTTGCTCAGCGGTCACGGTGGGGTTGTGCTACTTGGTTTTTTTTTGGGGGGGGGGGGAACGGAAACAACCGATGAATCAAATATCCTGTGCAGCTGAATCTATGGAGGGTGGTTAGCCGCGGTTAGCCAGCTAGCCTCCTCCTCGCAGAAACACAAGACAGATGAGGTGTGACAGAAAATTACCCGTCAAACACTGGCTGATACAGATGTTCAATTCCCAATGGTGCAAAACACAGCTTCACACAGCGGCTGCTTTCAGAGATATCAATGGAAATCTGCTGCCATTAAATCAAAAATATCCGCGTCAACCCCAAGTTCAGTTTCAGGAAGTAATCTTTACTACAGCTGCGTGTACCAATGGTCGCGTATTGTCAGCATTAAATATGTATTCGTGTACTTTACTGCTATGCGGCATTTGATTATCATTTCGTGTTTTAAAATGACTTTCATTACATATGAGGCGAATAACTGATGAGTCAAGAGTTACTGGAGTGAAAGAGGAGATAAAGAATGAGACGATCTCACCCCCTCGCCTGTGAAAGTGGACTCGTCCCTCTGGTTGGTGGGAGACGGTGCTGCGCAGAGACGTCCGCGGCCCGTGTTGCCAGGTTGGATGTTTTTTCCGCATAATTTGGCAACTACTTTTAATTGGCCTGCCAGTTGTGATTTATTGTTTAACACTTTACCCTTTTTTTTGCTTACATTTGTTTTAACCCACTTCTGTAAATGTATTAAGACACAGCATGTGTTTATATTAAGATAAGATCAAACTTTATTGATCCACACACCTGGGAAATTCAGTTGTTACAGTAACAGGGAATTCAGAATGAGGTAGACAAAGAATACAAATATTTAAAAAAGGTTTAAGTACGCACATTGTGCTTAAAGTCCCCACAACATAGAAAATATTTGACATAATAATAATAATTGACTAAAATATATCTATATATAGATATATATCTATGACAGATCGTGCTGCCCCCTGTCGGCCCAATCTGGCAACGCTGTCCGCTGCATGTTGCCAAGTAACGACACATTTACGCCTAAGAGAGAATGCGGGTAATTTCAGTAAGTAGCGTGTACAAATATTTGTATACTAGTGATTCTGTCTGATATCCCACGTGTCTGGAGCCGGTGAAGTTACTCTGTCTACTGTGACTTCACACAGGCGTGAGCTCCACGTTCAAATGCACCTGCTGGTTGAGGTTATCGCCACCTGTTGGCTAACGAGCTAACGAGCTAACTGGCTAACACATGACCTGAAACCTAACGTCTGGAGCTGCAGACACAGTTTTCCCACAGGGTCGATGGATACTGGTTTAACTTGACCTGTAAACAAGGTGAGACTTGACTTGTACGTGTTTGTTTACAAGTGCTTCGCCTAAGTAGACACCGGATGATTCTCAGTTAAGTTATAATGTAAAAACTCTGGGTCAGTAAGATGAAACCTGGAGACGTGTCCGTGAATCTTCTGATGTGTTGTGCTATCATCCAACTATATCACCATTCTCGTAGTTAACAGTTTTTTTATTTATTTATGACGTTAGTTTATTGAAATTTCAGATGCCTTAAAATTGTTGATTAATGGCTAAAAAAAAGAATGTCTTCCACTTTAATTTTTAAATATTGTCCAGATCAACATCTTGCATTTGAAATACTATTGTGGTTTTAGCTGCTCCTTTGGCAAGTAGATAAACTGTGTGTCAATGGAGAGGGGAGAGACCGGCTCAGATTATAGTTGATGTAAAGATGGATGCCTGATTGCCCCCAGTAAGTGAAGCCAGAGCATTGCAATCATAAATCCTACCTACGGCATGTGAGTGGATGGGACATGGGCCAAACTAAAAAGTTTTTTCTCAAAGATGGTTTCTGTCATTTTCAGTAGTTGCTAGCACACTGTATCTTCACACTGTATCTTCAAGTGTATGTATTACATGATGGTATAAAAATGGGGTGAAACATCATGATTCACAACTGAGGCTGACTCAAAATTGGTTGAGTGCATGTATCAGTGGGACTTGGCTAATCCCCTGATTGCTACTGAGCAGACTCTGGATAGTTAGTGTCCAATGTTTATATACAGTCTATGGCTCACACCCACCGTCTTGTAGAATTGAATCAGCTCTCTCTTATCTCTGCATCGTATTTCCTTACAAATTACTAATTGCCTTTATGTTTTCACAGAATCAAGTGAACATGAGCCATATGTGTGTCAGGGATTCATCAACCAAAGAAAAGAAGTCATCAGAGACAACATATAAAAGCTGTTGCTCAGTGAACAGATTCCCTGCAGACTGCAAATGTTTAAACCGTTGCAGGACCGATGGGCAGCCGAAAACGAAACGACTGAAAACTCGCAAGGAGCGGAGTCAGATGAGAGGTGCGGGTACAGAGGCCTCAAAGACGAAATCACATCCCCATCACTGCCATCGCCACAGCAGTAATGGCACGGCACATTTCCCAAACTTTTGTCATGGTAGCTGTAACTCAAGAAGAGATGGGCCATTTTCAAAGGTCGTTTCCACCACACAGGAACCCAGCATCATCACGAACAGCCGCCTGATAGGACACCACGGCCTCTTCAACCACGAAGTGAAGTCTATTGACATTCAACGCTTGTTAAGCCAACAGGAGAGGTTGGAGAGAGGTGGACAGAAAGCACAAGAAAACCATCCATCTTTGACACCTCTCATTCCCTCTCCATTCTCCAGTAATGGTTTGTTAGAAGCCGACACTGATGAGGTTGTGCCATTTGAGAAGAAAGAAGACCGTGCTGCAAAGACACGTGTTGATTGCCAGGAAAAAGAGAAGCAAATCCTTCATGAATCAGATATTACACCTGGGCAGAGACCACAGCAACAACTTGATCTTTCATCTGAAAGCTGTAGAAGCATCTTCTCATCCAAGAACAGCTCTTCTGATGTTATAAAGAAGGTCAACCCTGTCATACATGAGAAGGACCAAGAGTTTCGTCTAACTCCCACTGTTGACAGAGACATTGTGAAGACATCATATGAGAAGGTAAAGAAGAAAGTGATTTCTACTCCAAAAAACCAGGAGCCTCCTTCTCAACACGCTCGTCATCTCAGCCCAAGTCCACCTCAGCTCTTCAGCTCACCCACGACTGACAGCTTTCACACAGAGCACAGAAGACGAGATCCTGACTTTATATCAAAGTCTGTCTCCGCAATAGGAGCACGTTTGTGTGACTGTCTGCAGTTTCCACGTCTGAGGAGCAGAAACCTGCTCGCAGAGAGCAGGGAGGTGCTGCTGAAGGCTCTGAGGGAGAGGCATGGACCCCGGCTTCAGGAGAACCTTCTCTTTCAGCAGCGACGCCTCCACTTTGGCACTGATCTCACAAGCAGAGTGCAGGATCATGACCTGGAGCCAACCATGACTTATGAAAATGAGCTCTCGTCTACAGGTAAGCAGTGAAATACTAAACGGCTTTAGATTTCTCAAATATTGTGATTTGTTAAGATTGTTTTTTTAATGTGATAACTTAGGTTTTATCATATAATATCATCCACTCACAAAATTCTTATGTTGAGATATTGTGGTTCCCAGTTCTCATCAACAGAAACCAGTTACATTTTCCCAACATTACTGAACAAACTTACTCTGTGCTGTTAGAATATGGATTGCATCTTTTTACCTCAATATTGATTTAGAGATTGTACTGTGATAAGTGTCCATATTGCAGAGGACTGGGTAATAAAACAATACCTATTATTGCAATACAATTTTAATTGATAGCAATATTACTAAAGTTAAATATACATCAATACATTCATTATGCATTGTGCAAGCACAGTGAGGAGGTATACATACACATATTCTACCGGTTTTGCTGTTTATCTGCTTCTTTTTAGGTCTGACAAAAAAGGTTTTTTCCCTTAAAGCCAAAGCATTTTTTTAATTTTTAACATTAATGATCATGTTAACTAGCTTGAAGCCTTTTCTTTACATTTTCTTCACATTGCAGTGACATGTACTGAATCATCTGAGTTTAAGTTTTAAGACGTTCAGTTCAGTTCAGAGTTCAGTGAGTCAGTTTCTTAAAGCACTGTTGGGCACTGCGTACACGTTTTTCAGTTGTGCCATCTTTTCTGTTTAGATGTATCAGCATTTCAAGCCGATGCTGTTGGTCCGACATGTTCTGACACCACAGCTTTGAGAGAAATGAGAAGCAAGCATTTTAAAATGAAGTCCAGTCTGCAGCCACAGCAGAGCCTGAAATCGGTATGTCTACACTGCCCCTCTCGAATTTAAATTCAATTCACATATGCCCCAGCTGTTATCCTGTATTTTATAATTATCAGACAATGTTTGGAATAAAATGCTCTCTGGTGTTTTTTCTAGACTGCTGTCTCATTGACGAGGCCTGTGGATACTTCCTCCAGGCTTTTGGGTGATATCGTCAGACTTGGTTCCTGTCCTCAGTTCCGCATGAACGTTGAGTCCTCTGGAACTGCAGTAGGTGATTATTTGTTCACATCCTCTCCCACCTCATGCTGGGGAGACAAAGCCTCAGCATCTCAGCAATGGGATGTCAGTCTCAACAGGACTAGATGCAAAGAGTCCATAATTTTTGATTCCTTTGACAACAGCTTAAGTAACCACACAGGAGCATTTAGAGAGAAGAGCTGTGGGCCTCAGTATAACGACACTCAGCCCCTCTTTCATTGTCAAACACAGCTGGCAGATAGACACTCAGCTGAGCCAATGCGCTTTCCCCAAGACCCGTTTAAAACGGACAGATTTTGTTTCACTTCTTCCTTCTCCTCCCAAATTCACCATCCTAATCCGAGCAGCCGTTTCCAGACTTTCAGTCCCGCTTTAACTTGCCCCCCCCTCAGCTCCTACCACACAGACATGATCCACTACCCCCCATCTCACATGCTTGAAAGAGGCCCAGCACCTCACCTTTCTTCTTTACCAAGCCCTGAGCACTGGTCCTTCCCACCTATGAAACTGTATTGATGTGTCGTCAAATGCATCTAAAAAAAAGTTTGTCTTTTTCACAGATGTTGAAAATATTTGTTTGTTTGTGTGGTGGCATTTTTAGCATAAAAAGTAAAAACAATAGCTGATATGTCAAGTTTCCTCTTTTATTAATTTGTCTTGTTTAACAGATAAAGAAAAACACAATTAGGAGTCTGTATCTCTAGAGCATTGTTTTAATTTACAGAACACACTTTAATTAACACGTGCTATAATGGGAAATTCTGTACAGAGGAATATGTTTTGCAAAGGCTGTGCTATTATAATAGTTAGTCAGTTATTCTTTTTGTGTGGGGGCTGCATTAACATGCAAGAAACACATTGTGCAATTGTACAATAGAGGAATGCCAAACATCAAATATACAAAATAAAATAAAAATTCCGATCACCAGATATTAAATGAATGCTGATTCATTTTCATATAAATTATGTTTTTGTTGATCATACAATGCATCACACTGTACATTAAGATATTTACATGACCCTCTCCCTACAGCCTAATTTAATTATTCGTTTAAAATGCTGAAGGGTTTATCACTTAATTTTTTTTTTTTAAGGTTGCAAGTAATAGTTCTCATCAGATGTCTCTAAATGATCCATTTCATCATCACTTCTGGTGCTGTCTTCTGTTTCGAGCCTGCTCTCCATTCTCATCCCCCTACGTAGCTGGTTCCAGAACAGTTCTTGGGCCTGCATTGGATCAGTGCAGTTTGAGCCCGGCCACTGCAGATAAGTCTTTTTTAGCATGACTTTCCTCATGCGGTGATAGGACGACAACTGCCTCTCAGAGATCGGCTCCAGAAACACGAGCAGAAGAACATCTCGGTGCTCATCGAAGAGTCGGTAGCTGGCGAGCTGGATTTCCAGAGAACACCACTCACTTTGTAGGAAATTCCTGCTCACCACACAAATAGTTTTCCGGCTGCTGTAAACAGCAGAGACAATGTTGTCCACGATGTCACGGCCCAGTTCAAAGTCCCTGTGATGTAGGCAAAGTTTAAAAGATGATCCATTTCCCTCCAGGTTAGGCACTAACTGATCCATGACCCACTGTTCATCAGAGGAATTGTAGGAAATAAATGCATCATATTTGCAGTTATCCTCCTTCTCCCTGAGTCTGCGCCACTGCTCACTAAACCAGGAACGGAAAACATAGTAGCTGTACTTAAATTTCCAATAGAGTTTTACATAAAGTAAGGGACAGACTGTTAACAGGAAGACCACAGCTGCTGTGCTCAAGAACAGGTACTCACCTAGATCTATGTAGCAAACTTTAGTATCAAAGTTGTAGAATTTAATTGATGGTTCATTCTGGCATTTCAGACTGTGGAGATAGACTATCTGGACATTTGAGTTATTTTGTAGCCAGTTTTGCAGCAAGCTGTTCTTGCAGGTGCAGCTTAAAGGAATACTACGTATGTCAAGGTAGTTGAGTTTAGGTAGACTTTGAAGTGCATCAACAGGAATACTCTGCATCACATTGCGGTTCATCTGCAACACGTGTAACTGTGTAAGATTCCCAAAAACCTCCTTTGAGAAGTTCTGAATGCCCATATTTTCTACAATCAATTTGGTCAAATTTCTCAGATTTTTGAAGATTCCTGGTTGCAGTTTTACCACCCCGACGCAGCAGCTCTCCAGGTTGAGGAAACGCAAGCCTTTCAGATCATCAAACGCATCAGGGGCAAGATTATTGAGATTATTGTTGGTGAGATACAGTGATCTCAATGAGTGGAGGCCACGGAAATAAGCATGGGGTAAAATAGTCATGCCATGAGGCCGCTGCCTGTCCAACTTCAGATCACTGAGTTTGATGAGATTCTTAAATGGTGACTCCGTAGTTTCAGTGAGAAAACTAAACTGATTATTTTGTAGATCCAGCACTGTGAGTGTATCTTGAAATATATGATACAGGGACGTGTCAATGTGTTTGAGGTTGTTTCCATCTAGATAGAGTTTGGACAGACTTATTAGTCCATCAAAACCTGACGGCCGTATATGAGCGATCTTATTACCTCCAAGGTCCAATGTAGTCAGGTTGCTGAGCGTACAGAAGGTCTCATTGAAGATGACAGAAATACGATTGTTGCGTAGGTTAAGGATTTTCAGATTGACATTATCTTTAAAGTTATCCTTGAACAAATCCGTTAAGAGGTTGTTGTCCAAGCGGAGTTCCTCAAGCCTTCTCAGCCCTGTGAGAGCCTTCTGATGGAGAAAAGCAATTGTGTTTATGTTAAGGAGTAGCGTCTTGATATTTGGTAAATGATAGAAAGCTAAAGCATTCACTGAGAGGATGCGGTTGTAACGATAGCTCAGTGATTCTAGATCTTTGAAATGTACATTGTTTGTATTGTTACAGGATTGGAGGGAGGTGAGAAGGTTATGCTCCATAGTTAGGCTCTTTATCTGTGTATGTCTATGGAGGAATGTAAGGCAATTTGTGCTTTTGTGCAGGCGATTGCGGGATAGATCCAGAGACCTTGTGATCTGAGGACAATAGTACAGTGTGTAGCTGGTAAGAGTCGTAATCCCATTAAAACCCAGCTGCAAATCTTTTATCTGTTCCACTTTTCTTTTTAACAATCTGCATAGCTCTGTGAGCAGGCTGTCATTTTGTAGACCTGTGCCAGAGAAATCAACCCGTCTTGCATCAATGTTACTGATGTTTAAAAACTCCACTACCTTGACACTCGTTGAACGCAAACGCAAATAGTTCACACGTTTCAAATTCACTCCTTGAAAAGCCATCGTTTGGAGCATAGAATTGTTCGACAAGTCTAGAACGTTAATGAACCTGAGAAATGAACTCTCACATCCTAACGTGGACAAATTATTTCTACACAAATACAAAACAGTGAGGGATGTGGGTAGTGACACATTTGAGTGGCTAAGGGAGGTCAAACTGTTAACGCAGAGGTCTAGTGTCTTTAGATTCGTCAGATGTGACACAGACTCGACAATCCCAGAGAAATTTGTCAGAAGGTTTTCCCTCATGATTAACTTGGTTAGATTGAGATTGGTAGAGAAAATTCTCTCAGGAAGCTGCTTTAATTTATTGTGGGTCAGAGAGAGAAAGGTGAGGTTGTGAAGCCCCCGAAACGCTCTAGGGTTCAGCTGGGATATGTTGTTAAAAGACAAATTTAGGGAGTGAAGTTGATGCAAGTTATGGAAAGCAAATTGATCGATGCTCCTCAAGAGGTTATGATCTAATCTGAGGTTCTGAAGTTCAGTTAGATGATCAAAGCTGTAGTTGAGAATGTGCACTACTGGATCAAGTGAGATGGTGAGATTGGTGACAGATGACGGCAGATCACTTATAATAGCAGATAGGTTTCCCTTTCGATGGATGCAGTTGAAGATTTTTCCCTTTGAGTACGGTTTTTCAATGCAGTTGTCATAGCTGTAACTTCTGATGAGTTGAGCAGCACCAAGAATAAGGGCAACTGACAAGAACTGATAAGTTAGACGGGACATTTTTTCTTGTTGCAGTCCAGAGAAAGGCCTTTCAAATCGCTGGTCTCTTTAGATTTGGTTTGTTTGAATATGTGGAAAAGACCTCTGGGTCGTTCATTCGTTGATCGTGGCACAGGAATCTGAGGATAGAGGACGAAACAACACATCATGTCCTGTTGTATAAGGGAATTAAGATTACATTTTCAAACCAGGCAAATTTAAGCGACCTTTACACAAACATTCTTGCTTTCTAAGCAGGAAAATCCTTATACAGACCTGCTACCACAATCTTATATGTCATGTATATATCACCATTCATACTGCACATGTTAATCTTGTTGTCCTGTACCTTTTACAGGAGATGGATATCTTCTCTAAAATGTTATAGGTCTTAATAGGTTGGTGTTAGAATTGTAAAGTGCTCCTAATGCTGACGATATATCATTTCATGCATTTCATGCTGTTTGTATCTCAAACAATTATTTGAAAGAAGAAAATAATTTAAAGTCTGAAAACATTATAAATCTGATAGAAGAAAAAGTAAAATGCAAATACCCTTTTTATGATGGTCTGCACTGCACGTCCAATTAGTGATGTTACTGCATCTCACCAGAACCGAACTCCGCTGTCACCAGGTTTCTTAAATCAGCTGCAGTCCTCGCCTGGGATCACACCAACTGGGGGATGTTTCCAGAGAAATCGACAGTACAAAAGTTAACTCAGTTCTTCTTTAGCATTTTCATATCCCTTTTCTCTCTGCTCTCTGCTCTCGAGTTCCCTCTACTCCTCCTCCAGACATGTATCTCACCACAATTCGATTTCACATGTCACACTGTTAAAAACATGCTGTGAAATGGTTGATAGTTGGATAAACATTATAATAAACAATTTCTGTCCTAAACATTCTCCCCTACATTTAAAATGTAACCTTTTTAAATTATGTGTGTTTTGTCCAAAAGCTAGCAGTTGTTAAAGAAACAACATCAAGTCATCCTCATAAAATCTTTGACATAATTGTATCACTTTGGCTTGATGAGAAAAATAATCACCAAATATCTTACTGTATTCAAAATTAATAAAATAACTATTGATCTCACACTGGACAAATTATACTCTTACAGCAACAGATTAGGTCTGAATGAGAAAGAGATAAAATAGGCGTTAAAATTGGAAATAGAAAATAAAAACATTGAAATTAAATTAAAATACAAAGAATATGTACCAAAAATAATACACTTGAACGTAGTGTTTTGCGTCTTACCTGTTCAGCTTCATTCCACTATGACCATTTTAGAATTGCATGAAGTCAGAATGAGGAAGGCGGGTGCAACTCCTCCTTCTTTTTTCATAGTTGTTTTTTTCTAAATTAATAGACGAATATGTTACGAATAGGCAAGGAAAACAATATTCTGATACTAATAGATTCAAAAATATGAAATCTTGTAAATTCACCACTATAAACTCACACTGAAAAGGCAAGGTCAGCATTTCCTTCTTCCTTTGTTCGCTGGTTTATTGCATGAAGACAATTTGAACACAGTGAGTCGCTGTTTAACTGAACATGAAAGACGGGGGTTTGGTGTAAAAGTTTAAGCCTAATGAAATATTTCTGTTGTCCTTTTCTTCCAACTCCCTGAAAACCTGCTCACACCTCTGATCTGTATAAATATGTATGTTAGATGTATGTATATCGTATATTAGTACAAAATAAAATGGCAGTTCAGTCTGATCATACAGCTATTATTCTTACATTATAAACTTGTACTAATAAAGCAAACTGGAATATGAAATGGTGTCCAGACCAAGAAATGTACGTTTTGCACAAGTGACTCATTTGTAAATTAGATGTTACATCTAATCTTTTTATCCTCTCATCTTCTGCTCCCGTGCCATCTGACACAGTCCACACAGAGGCAGGCAGGCCATGACAACCCAGTCATCACACACTGAGCCCTGGGAAAAAGCACAGGCAGAATAAACTCGTTACGATTATCGTTATCTCGTGTTAAAAAAGGATCGGTGAGGGTAAAGCACACTTACTTGAATGTGGTATCTCCCGCGGATGCTTGTCCTTAGAGCAATCATGGCACCAGGAAGGAAGGGGATGCAGCAGCTGTCCCCATTGTCCTGAGCCACCTTACAGCCCAGAATACACGGGACAAATGTAGCACAAAGACCTGCAGGTGAAAGACAGCAGTGTCATACTGGAATTCAGTGTTGACTGATTTCTGCTCGTCTACGTAAACTCACGTACAGATTCCACAGTCTTCACAGCAGTCGCACACGTTTGAGCTCCAATCTGACAATCCAGAGGACACAGTGTACTGTGTGACTGAGACCTGAGGCTGCGAGCTGATCACATTCGACTGGAACGCCATCGCTGCAAGAAGAAAAGGGATGTTAGGCATTTTCTAAACCCTATTTGCAGCCATGTTTCCCCTCAAATAAGAAGATGTCCAGTTCTGTGCCGTCAAAGCCTCAGCTGGTTTTCATTCCAGTCCAAAAATAATTGAAGTTTACTTCACTTATAGTAATAAATTAGTAGAATTTTTAAGGATAAATGATTGTAATAACAACCTGAAGCGTCTACTGTTTAGCAGGACTGAATGACCTTAGCATGGAGCTAACATTGCTTCACAAAACCTCACCTGATCTCTCCTCCTGAGGTTGCTGTGGTCTGACAGTGTCAACGGTCACAGGCTAAACCCTCAAACAGGTGGGCGAGGACCTGGCCACAGCTCTTATACCCATTGTGACATCAGTCATATATCAGAGTTCGGTTTCTACTGATATGACTCAACACACAATGACCATTTAGGTTGGTGCAAACACTCTGTGAATAAAAAAGTTAAATGTTTGGTTTTGGGGCGTATTACAACTTTAAAAAGGTTCCACCTAATGTGGCGTGTTTTTATCAGCACACAGTTATTGAAGACAAAGCAGGCATGTACACACTGTTTGTATTTAAGCAATTTATAAACTAGGGTTTGCCTTCAGTGCAGGTGTGGAGCTGCACAGAACTGACTTGACTGGGGACAAGGTTTGCACTACAATACATCTGTCTTTGTTCTTGTGTGTATTTGTGTGGTTTGTCCGGATGAACACACGGGTCAACAGAAATCACTGAGCAGCACCCAACACGTGCATGCTGGGGTTACGTAAATGAGAGACTCAACATTATCTGTACTCCCATTAATTATCACAATGGAGTTTAACATAACAGCAAAAACAAGTTCAAAATGTACAACAGTGGTTTAAATAAAACTAGAATGGCACTCATTCAGGGCCCAACAGACTGCTTATGAAACCACATTTAAAGATTCAGCTGGATCAAATCACACACTCATAAATATCTGTCCCCTAAACATGCCTGATTTCTGTCATCAAGAGCCATGAGTTGATGAAAACATAACCTCCTTGTTGGAGGTAATAAAAAGACATAATTCAAGTTAAATCAAAACAAAAGTAAAGTACCAATCAGAGATAACAGCAGTACATTAGTTTTATTCTGTCAAAACAATATAAACATGGTACTGTACACAAAATTAAAACACAGATACTCAAGGAAAAAGAGCACAGTTTCAGTAGGTGTACAGAAGTTAAAGAAACACAACCATTTGCACAATTGCACAAAAGTTAACAATGTATTTCCATAAAGGTCCTGGCCCCGTCCAGGCTCGCTGCTTTTATAGGCTCGACTGAAACAAGCTCTATCTTTAAATCTTGACTATTAAACCTGTGCTGCTCACTGTGCAATCATACATCTGTAAATATTTAGCTACTTAGTTTCAACATTTCATGCTGCTCACACGTTTCCTGCAGAACCCGGGGGCCTCAAAATAACAGTATGATAATCTTCTACTCCTGAAAACTTCTTAGAAATTATGCCATGTACCTTTTATGGGTTTCAGAGACTTGTAGCCTGTGAGTGACTTTTTTTAGAAGCAAAGCAAATGTATTTGTTTATTTATAGCCCATATAATAAATCAGATATCAAAGTATTTCCTTATATGGTGTAATAATTATTTCTTTTCATCTTTTATTTAATAATCATAGGTATTGACAGTGTATTAATTTGCTCGTGTCTAAACTTGTTTTTCTTATAAATTTGCACTGTTCTTCTGAAGTAGCACCTCTAGTTTCGTTGTACTGCTTTCTTAATGACAATAAATGCTCTTCATTCTATTCTTTTGAGGAATAGTTATGCCAACTAGAAGATCTAAAGAATAAAGATAATATCATTAACCTGTCGCAGTATTCATTAAATGTGTCTTTCCAACAGGCGATCCTTCAACAAGTCAGACCATGTCAGAAGGAAGAAAAACAACTGTTGCACAATAATATAATTTACCAGAAGACGCTCGGTCAAGAAAGATAAAACCACAATTGTGTTCAGTTCCTCTGACATTTTAGAGGAACTTTTGTAAAACCTAAAGAGTTCATTTTAACATCTCTTTTTCATTTTACTTCCATAAAATCTTCCCCTAAATCTTTTTAAACTTTCAAAGTGAATATTGCACACACTACTACAATATTAGTAGTGTGGGCAAATGAATGCAGTTCTGGACTCTAGCACACTGACTTTTCTGCATATCAGGCATTTTGTAATCATTCACATAATGTTAATGTATCTATGATGATGTTTTCCTCCTGTGTCCTTTCTAATCAAATCTAATCTTAGTATTTTTATGATCCTACACTGTCAAATGTCATTCTCAACAAAATCGACTGCTCCTGATAAGTTACCACCAGCAATAGTTATGCAGTGCGTAACATCAAAACAAAAAAGAGAGCATGGTGGGAACTGTGGTATTTCTGCTCACCATGGCACTTTCACTTCTCCTTTTGTGATTATTTTGTCAAATCAATTTAAGCCTCTTTGTTGCCTTTACAGTCAAGTAAATAATTATTTGACCCCTTGCCGATTTTGTAAGTTTGCCCACTGACAAAGATATGAATGGTCTATAATTGTAATGGTAGGTTTATTGTAACATTGAGAGACAGAATTAAAAAAAAAAAATTCAGAAAATCGCATCGTATAAAAGTTATAAATGTATTTGCAGGGCAAATTTACTAAATAGGCAACGGATCAAATAATTATTTCCTTCACTGTATGTGAACATTTAATTTTATTTGTCAAAGCATCATGAGCTGCATGTGGGTTCACATTGCAGAAAATAGATTTTTTCCAGCCTGAAGTCACCAGTCACGTACTGTCTGTCTGTTGGAGCTGGCTGTAGTGCCATTTTAAAAATATTTATCATAACTCCCCTGAGACAGTCACCCATTCCTACTATATGGCTACATCTGCCTAAAATGTGCGAAGATTCGGTTCCTGAAATGTTGACTTCTTCTTTCTGATCCTGCCCTCATCCAGACAAGTGAAGACAGAGAGATAGACAAAAAAAAGGGACGTTTTACTAATGTGTGTATGAGCAGAGGGTGCTGTCTTGACTCTCAGAGGGTGTCAAGTGTTCTGCTGCAGATATGGATCAGGTCACAACAACCACAGAAGATTACTGGGTGAGTACAACAATATGTGCATCATCAGAGGTGTCTACCTTTTTTTCCCTCTGTTAAAAGGATTTTTCAGGTAGTTTCTTCTCACTCTAATTGAGAGAAGGGCAAGGTGATTGATTGATTGTAGAGTCTGTCCTTTACCAGATGTGTTAAGATGATAGTTCATCAATTGATATCTATACATGGATTATCTTCATGTTGCTTTTTGAGTTGTTCTACAGGACCTTCGTGTTAAAGGTGCCCTCATTGAGGCTCAAGTAAATGAACTAAACAAACTGTGAGCTGAGCTTTATCTTGAACTATCTCCTCCAAGTATGTGACAGTTTCTCTCTCCTGCAGGACTTTAACTATGAAGATAATTACACCTTGTCCCCTGAAACGAGCAGAACCGGTGCAGCGCCATGCTTGCAGGGGGACATCTACGGATTTGCACAGAGCTACTCCCCCATCGTTTACACCCTGGTGTTCCTCCTGGCTGTTGTAGGCAATGTGCTGGTGCTGTGTGTGATCCGACGCTACCGAAACTCTCATAACGGCGGCGCCTGTGCCTTCTCTCTGACCGACACCTTCCTCCTTCACCTGGCCATCTCTGACCTCCTGCTGACCTTCACCCTGCCCCTGTTCGCTGTGCAGTGGGCCCACCAGTGGGTGTTTGGTTTAGCAGCTTGCAAGATCTCTGGTGCCCTCTTCTCCCTGAACCGATACAGCGGCATCCTCTTCCTCGCCTGCATCAGCTTTGACCGCTACCTAGCCATCGTTCACGCTGTCAGCTCTGGCTGGAAACGCAACACCTGCCATGCCCAAATTGCATGCGCCCTCATCTGGGTGGTCTGCCTGGGCCTGAGTGGGGTGGACATTGTTTTTAAACAGGTAGTGAATGTGAACACCGTGGGCCAGCAGAAGGCCCTCCTGTGTCAGGTGTGGTTTGTTGATAACTCCACAGAGTGGCAGGTGGGGCTGCAGCTCCTCAGTGTGGTTCTAGGTTTCGGGCTCCCTCTGTTGATCATGCTCTACTGCTACATCCGCATCTTCAGGTCCCTGTGCAATGCCACTCGCCGCCAGAGGCGCAAGTCCCTCCGTCTCATCGTCTCCCTGGTGTCTGTGTTTGTCGTTTGCTGGGCACCATACAACTGTTTCCAGCTGGCAGACAGTCTGCACAGGTTGGGGGCGGTGGCCGGAGGGTGCCACTTTGGCCGCGTGGTGGACATTGGGACTTTGATCACTGAGAGTCTGGGTCTGTCGCACTGCGCCCTCAACCCTCTGCTGTACGGCTTTGTGGGGGTGAAGTTCAGGAGGGAGCTGGTGAATATGTGCAAGGGGCTGCTGGGACAGAGAGGCTGGCTGGGGATGGAGGGATGGAGGCAGAGAAAGCCCAGGAAGCCGACGGGCTCATTCAGCTCAGCGGACAGTGAAAACACCTCCTTCTCTGTCATGGTGTGACACTGGTTAGAGAGACAAGAAGAAAGAGGAAGATATGTGACGGATTTGATGAAAGGAGAGAGGGACTAAATGAAAAACAAAAATGTTCTCAGGGGGTAAAAGTTTCTACCCATTTCTACCATCTTCATTTCTGTGATATTTCTTTACCACGTGGCTGGTGGTTAAGTGCAGCTACAACATATTGTTTATTTGTACTTTTTTGTTCCAAGAATACTGTTGTAAAATCATGAAGTAAGAGTGGTACACAGAGAGCAGACTGACATCTCCCACATGCTGATGCTGTCATCGTAACAGGTTGTGAGATCTCCCTGAAATTCAGGGAAACATCCTGATTTCTTCATATTCACACAAAAGCTTGTTCAGCATTTAAGATGCAGCCTGTGGCTTCTGTCGTCAGACTCATATGTCACATCCTCCACACTCAGCAGACTGTGTTCTCATCACTCTCTGCTCTCGTTTGCAGCTGATAAAATAGTGAAAATTGTTGTGTAAATTTTACGTGTTGAAATTCTGTTTCTTGCAGCCAAGTGTGTCAAGATCTTACACTTTGCTTCAAAGAGGGAATAACTTTCAAAAAATATTTTGTATGTGTCACATTACAAACCCAATCCCTTTGTGAGGAATATTTGTATAATAAATATTTTGTAACAAAGCGTCAGGTGACTGTATGCATCAACATTTTATGGTAGTTTCTCTGCAGGTTTACAGCTATTTTCATTCAGCGAAACATGTAGCTGCAAAACTGCACTGACATCTCATGGTTCTTGCAAATAACGAGGAGTAAACATTTGGAGCTATAGTGAACTGGAAGTAATGATCAGACAGAGAGGCTCACCTGGTTCTGAGCCGCTGGGACGGAATTAAAAATGCAGATCCAGAAAAGTAAAGTTGTGTTGTTTGCTCACAGAACAGCAACAAATGTTAGATTAGAAAGGCAGCATGTGAAGTTCAGTCTGAGAGCATTAAAACATACATTCTATAAAACATACATTCTAAACATTATATTTATATTATAATAAACATAATACAGATCAATATATAACATACTTAAGTAAAAGTTGTGAGAAAGCAATATAAAAATACCCCATTAGTAATTATACATACATATTGTCAACAAATTATACCCAAAGCATTAAAGTAAGAACTCACTACTTAGAACATCTACAATAGGATATAATTGTATTACTGTGTGTAGGGTTGTAAGTGACTCACAAATGTTGTGGTAACTTTTCTTTTCTGTCTCAGATTCTAGCCTGTATTGGGAAAGCAGTATATTGTAAAATCGGACATCTTTGGGCCTCAGTAGAGTGGATCCGTGCACCGGGGCCCCACAGTTCCCTTAAATTCTGTCAGGCTGCACTGAGTTTCACACACTCATCAGTTCCCTATAAAGATCCATAAATTATTATAATCTGTGGGAAAATGCTTAGAATGTTGAAAAACGCTCTAATGATAAAGAAAATAAAAATAAATCAATAATCCTAGATCTGCTCCCCGATCCAAACCCACACCAACATTTAATGGGTTCTCCCTGACCTCATCCTTCCAGCAAGTTCTGTGGCAATCTGTGCGATCTTGCTTACAAACAAAGAAACAATAGTGAAAAAAGAAATATCTCTTTGAAGGAAACCACACAACTAAACACATTGACATATGACACATGATAAGAGGCCGCAAATAGGTTCACACGACTTCTTTTTCTTTTCTTTTTTTTTCAGTGTCTATTTATCAATGCATCAGTCAAGTATTTTATGAGTCTCTTAAAACTTTCAGATTAATAAAGAGTGTCCACAATGTAGGGAAGTCAAAGCCAAGTACTAATAATGATGAATGATCTTAACGCCTATAATGATCACTCTATTGTAACACCAGCACAACATCGCCACCTAGTGGAGAGCGGCTCTCGGTGCGGTTCATCGTTGACTTTGTCCAGTTGCGTCAAGTCAGAAAACGTGGAAAAGCGGAAATAGAGTAATATAGCCTTCAAAATAAAGCACCTGTGTACTACCCTACAAGCCTAGACAATGGGGACTGTCCCATTTCATCATTTTCTTCGCGTTTTAATGAAAACCAAAGAATTTTGGCATCTTTTTTTTTCAAGATTACCATTTTTCACCTGAGTGGATTTGATGAAGTTTTTTATTCTGAAAAGCAAGATGATTCTGTTTTGTGCAGAGCTGGCAGCTTGTGAGCAGATTGGCCGAACCACAGACCTGAAGTGTTCGCTGGCACGTCTTCGGCTAAACGTAAGGCTGTTGCACGGTCAGTACGCGTCCGTGTGGTTAAAACCTCCAGCCGGTGGTGAGCGCAGTATTTTATATCATCCACTTCTCCGTTTTCCCTTGAGCGTTGTTTTTCTTGTGTGTGTGTGTTTGTGCTCATCCACCCTCAGCTCGTTTAAAAACACGATCACACCTTCAGGAGAAATGTGTTGGTTCCTAAAGTTTGTGCGTAAACACGAACACGAAGCTTAAATGCATTTTCCGGCTGCAGGACTTGACAGACTCGCGACAGTTGCAGGAGTTGGGTCCGAAAACAGCGACGGAGTCTTGACCCCCTTTGTCCTCTGATCACTTCTCATCGTTCACTCTGCAGCTCCAGTCACACGGTTTGACATTTTACTTGTTCAAGTCTTTTCTCTTTCTCTTTCGGTTTTCGCTGTCTCTGGTTCCACATTTGAAACTTATCTCGTCTGACAGCGCTTCAGCTGTCATGAGCATATCTGCTTATCTAATTCTACCTCAAGGAAGAAACTCAACGGCACTCTGCATTAAATAGCTTTTTGGAGTGTGTGTGTGTGTGTGTGTGTGTGTGTGTGTGTGTGTGTGTGTGTGTGTGTGTGTKTGTGTGTGTGTGGGGGGGACTTCTGGGGGGGGGGTGTGACTTCTGTATGACTTCTGTATAGTTCCAATAAGTTTAGTGTGTGTGTGTGTGTGTGTGAGTGTGTGAGTGAGTGACGATAGGGTACTTTGCTGTAAGTTTTTTGGTCCACAGTTACCTCATCCAGTGTCTCACCATGTGACTTATGTGAGCGTCACCCGGGCTTCAAGAGGAGAAATGTTACCTTAAGCTGATGATACACACACAAACACCCAGAGAGAGAGCAGTGAATGAGCTGATAATTCTTACATCTATAGCCTCTGAAGCGCTGCAGTATTTTTTGATTTCTCTCTGTGTTTGACCTCTTTCCCTCCACAGCAGAAGATGAACATGGAAGTGGAACTTGGTGGATTTCTGAGCCAGAACTCGACCTATGATTATAATGAGGACTATGAGTATAAAGGGGACGAGGAATCCGAGGGCAGAAAGGCCGTGTTGATCCCGCTCTTGTACTCCGCCATGTTGGTTGTTGGTCTGCTGGGGAACCTGCTGCTCCTGGTTATTCTGGCACAGAAGAGAAGATCTTGGAGCATATCAGACACATTCATCCTCCACTTTGGAGTCGCAGATATCCTGCTGCTGGCGACGCTGCCCCTCAGGGCGATACAGGCCGCTGAACACGGATGGCGCTTTGGGGCTGCGCTGTGCAAGATCAGTGGAGCTGTTTTTAATGTAAGTACAGAGTGGTGTGTAGATTAGGCATGTACTGAAAGTGAAATCCTTTTTAGTGAAGCTGTTTTGTCCTCTCCAAGTGGTATCCAAATTCCTCCTCTTGTTTCTGGCAAGAGGGAGGGAGAAGAGTAGAAGAGAAGTGAAAGGTTATGGCTGGAGGTTTCTGTGTTACATAAGATCACATTTTTTTCTATATATTTTTCTTAGTTCAACTTCTACTGTGGGATCCTTCTGCTGGCCTGCATCAGTGTAGATCGCTGCCTGTCCATCGTCCACAACACACAGCTGTTCTCCCACAAGAAATGTGTGTTGGTTCATCTCAGCTGCCTTTCCGCCTGGTTCATCTCCCTGATCCTCACCATACCCGACTGGATTTTTCTAACGGCTGCAAAAGATGACGCACAAATTAAAAATGAAAAAACAGTTTGTGTGAACGACTACTCTCAGTCAGTAATTGACTTGCGCCTGTTTTCACACCTGTGCCACACACTGGGCTTCCTGCTGCCTGCAGTCATCGTGATCTTCTGCTGCGCCCGTATCCTGCTACAGCTACGGCAGAGATCGAAAAGCCTCCACAAGCAGACAGCCATCATGGTCCTCCTGCCCCTGGTGTCGGTCTTCTTTGTCTTCTGGGTACCATACATCATCACGCTCATTGTGGGCACCTTCAGGAACTATTCCCTGACAACAGCTCTGATGGTCACAGCTGCTCTGGGCTACGTTCACGCCTGCCTTAGGCCTCTGCTCTATTTCTGCCTGTGTGGAAACTTTAGGAAACGGACTATTGCCTTACTGACATGTGCTAAAGATGAATCCAGAAGGTCACTGTGGGAGCTGGGTGTGGGTGAGGAAGCTCTGCCTGACCAGAGTCATGAGGCGGAGGGGCTGAAACAGATGACAAGTGAAGAGCTTCAGGTGCAGTCACTCAGTGCTGACCAACAGACAAATAAAAGCACTGTGTGACTAAGAGACGAATAATTTTTCACCGCTGTCATGTTTTGGCACCAAGTGGTTCGAGAACTATATTGTGTGTAATGTTGAGAAATAGTATTTATTTAGAAAAAGACTCATGTTGCACTTTACTGTGAAGGTTTCAGAGCCACATCATGGTGTTGAACTTTTATTTTTATAATCACTGTTACACAACTGTAGCTTGT